AGGCCAACGAGCTTAGAGGAGTAGCCCCACAGCTGTCCAACCAAACCCGGACCCAAGCAAGGGTGATCCCTCAGGCCAGTCCCTTCAACCAGGAGCGCGATTGGCCAGAGCTGGCTACCCCAACAGCTGGCCCTTCTGGTGACAGGTCCCGGCGAGCTGCTCCCAAGCCCCGACCTGCGTCCTACAGCTCTCTCTCACAGGCTCCTGCAACCAAACCGACAAAGGGGCCCCAGCTCGTGCATGAAAGCACCGAAGGTCGCCCCCCGGCCCAAACATCAGAACTGAACGGAGAGATCGAGCAGGACAGAACCCCCTTGCTCACTGACCCCTCCCCAGTAACTCCGATACTGCGGTCCAGGGCCCTCGACTCTGATGACTCGACAGGTCGTGAGCAAACAGAGAATCTCACCGATGAGGAGGAGACGCCAAACAGTCGCTCTCTTTTCTCCCTGCAGCGATCGCCAGCCATGTATAGCGATAGTGACTCGGACTCGTCTCTGACGCAATTCACCCAGAAGACACCGAGCACTCGCCTCCGATCACGCACAGTCAAAAAGAAGAACATGGGCGTTCGATCGCAGCCTGTGACCAAACGGTCTTTCATTCCTGAATAGGTCATCACAGCACCTTGCTGTAAGCAGTGTTCATGCATTTTCTTCAATGGAATGTAGGAGGTCTTCTCTCACATCTATCAGAATTTAAGCAGTATCTACAAAAAGAAATTCCTCTTCTAGCAGCAATTCAAGAAACGCATTTTCGGAACTCTGATCACTACAATTATGATGTCCCTGGATACACATTGTATAGACATGACATAAATATGCCAAATCGACAGGGAGGGGTTGCACTATATGTAGCGAACTCTCTTCCTCAGCGTCAAACAATCTTGGCTTCCACACTTAATGTGGTAGCGGTAACAATTTCCTTGTTTAATCGAGAGGTTTTGGTCGCATCGGTGTATTTGCCACCCAACTCAAACATTGTTAACCGTGATACCATAAATGCTCTGTTTGGACAAATGCCTGAACACTGTTTGATGCTAGGCGATTTCAACGGCCACAGCCCATTATGGGGCAGCCAACAGCTAACTCCAAGAGGGCGGATCATAGAGACTGAACTCAACCGCCAATCTCTTATAACTATGAATGATGGAACTCCGACTTTCATCAGCCACAGCTATCATACAACATCCTCCATTGACCTATCAATCTCTTCCCCCAGAATAGCCCCGCTTTTCAAATGGAATGTTTCACCAGACCCCCTTTTCTCAGACCACTTTCCTATAACCATTGAGCTTGCCAACGCCACACCACTGTCTCCTATAACTGAACGCAAAATATGGAAAACGGGTAAGGCTGATTGGAAAGCATTTAACGCGAGTGTCAACCGTCATTCCCCTTACAGCATGAACCGTACGATATCGAACTTCATAAACGCAGTAAGGGCTTCAGCCAGTGAAACGATAAAAGAAAAAACCATCAAAGTCGGTGGCCCAAATTTACCTAAAAATCCACCCTGGTGGAATTGGAAATGTCAGCGAGCCAAGGCTTTGCGGAAAAGGGCATACAAGCAATTTCAAAGGTGTATCTGTGATAGACACGCCCACCTCTATTCAGCAGCACGAAAAGAATGTGCTGAAATTATATATAAGGAAAAAAAGGAAGCATGGGAAAATTACGCTGCTAAGTGTAACCGATTCACCCCCCTCAGCGAGATATGGTCCCAAGTTCGGTCATTTGCTTCCAGAAGAACCGCTCCACGCCCCTTCCCCCAACTGCGTATAAACAACACGTTCATAACGGCCCCGCCTGAAGTCGTAAATGCTCTCGCCAGACAGTTTGCAGCCGCTTCCTCGACAGAGATTTACGATCCAAATACTCATCGAATCCTTATCAGCCAAACCAATAATCTTGATTTTTCCTCAGCTAATACTGAGTCCTATAACGTTCCTTTTACCCTTCGCGAACTTAAATTATCTTTGGCAAAGGCCAGCCCCAAGACGTCGGTAGGCCCTGATGGTCTTCCTTACGCATTTTACATCAACCTAGACGAACTAAACCTATCCACTCTACTCATCGCTCTAAATAATCTTTGGTTAAATGATTCCTTCCCGGATGAGTGGCTCAGGAGTATTATCGTTCCGATTCTAAAACCAGGCAAAGACGCTCAACTCCCAAATTCCTACCGCCCAATCTCTCTCACAAACTGTATTTGCAAAATCTTTGAGCGCATGGTGATCACCCGCTTGCGTTACTACCTGGAGGATAAAAAATGCATAGACTCCTGCCAAAGTGGATTTCGTCAACACCACAGCACGGCAGATAATGTCGTTCGTCTAATCTCTGACATTCAAGTTAACTGGGAACGTCGCCAACCAACAGTTGCTGTTTTCCTGGACCTAGTTTCTGCCTTTAATAAAGTACACAGCTCGACGGTTCTGAACAAACTGCATTCAATCGGCATTAGAGGCCATTTGGCCATCTTTCTTCGTAATTTCCTCAAACCTCGCACCTTCAGAGTTCGTTGTCAAACCACGCTCTCTGACGCTTTCCGAATGGAGCACGGTGTACCCCAAGGAAGTGTATTGTCACCTACCCTATTTCTAATCGCTATTAATGATCTCTTTTTATCACTTCCACGGTTTCTTACCCTCTCTGTCCGTTACTCACTTTTCGCCGACGATATTGCAATATGGGTCTCCCACAAAAGCTATAAACAAGCCTTTTCAATTATACAAAAGGTAATCGATCACTGCGTTCAATGGTGTAAGAAATGGGGCTTCTTTCTATCAGCTCCTAAGTCAGCTCTGATGGTCTTTAAAAGGGGACCTCTACCGTCCTTAGACGAATCGCCACAGATTGATGGAAATAGAATCCCGTTTTACACATCCCACAAATTTTTGGGGATAATCCTGGACTCAAATCTGACTTTTCGACTCCACGTAGAGCACATCAGGACACGTTGTCTTAAAAGAATAAACGCCCTAAGATGCATCTCAGGTTTTACCTGGGGTGCGGACAGAAAAACGTTGTCAATGCTTTATATAGGACTCATCCGATCTACTCTCGAATACAACTGTTACCTTTTTAGTACACTCTCGCCCACTCTTTGTAAACGGCTCGAAGCCATACAATCAAATTGTCTACGGATGATAACTGGGGCGTTCCGCACAACACCGACACTCTCCCTGCGGACGGAGGCAAACCTGCCAGCACTAGAAGACCGCCGTTTCTTCCTTTTCCTACGATACTACTATCGCGCCAAAAGTATTCCGAACCATTCTGCAATTCCAGCGATGGAAGCCAGGAAACCCTTTTCCCGGCAACCTCTCCGCAGGTCGTGCTTCCTTCCAGAAATTATAAATCAGGCTCATGAGATACTCAACATTGGCCAAATAAACGTTGCCTCTAAACCGCCTATGCTTCCCTTCTGGCTCCTGCGAGACATTTCTATTGAATATCTTTTTAACGATTCAAAATCTAACATTTCGCCAATGGATGCCCAATTGCTGTTCCATGAGTATGTACAGAGAAACCTAGACTCCACATTCTTCTACACTGACGGCTCATGTCTTTCAAACCAAACGGGCGCGGCAGCCGTGGGCCCGAATATTAGATACAAAATACGCCTGCAAGACCATGCCACTATTTTTTTAGCAGAAGTTCACGCTATTCAAACGGTAGTCCGTCATATACAAACACTTCACATTGAACAGGCAATAATCTGCACCGATTCCAAATCTGCCCTTCAGGCTCTAGAAAGAACTGATAACGTCACCCACTACTGCATCCAAAATATCCACAAAATGCTACTAGAACTAGACGAAAGTCAGCATATAACTTTTCTTTGGGTGCCAAGTCATTGTGGCATCGCAGGGAATGAGCTGGCAGACACCCTCGCTAAGGAAGGAGCAATGAGAGCAGACCCTAGTGGGGTGCCTCTCTCGATCGGGGACGTCTGCCACAAACTCCGAACAAAATTTAATACTTACCTACAAAACAAATGGAATCAAACCCACTCTCCTCATTTATATGCGATCAAGCAAAATCTTACATCCTGGACAACTTGCAACCAGCCAAATAGGATTCGCGAGGTTACACTGGCAAGGCTACGATGCGGACATACTCGTTTCACCCACTGTCATCTTTTCGAAAGGACGGACCCACCAATGTGCCAAACATGCAACACACGCATTACGGTTGAACACATTCTAATCGGATGCACAGTCCTCCGCAACGAACGAAAACATATCAACAACTACCTTACAAAATATCGCCTCAGAAACGATCTTCCGACTCTTCTCGGAGATGATCCAGCACTAACTGATCTAGTACTTGATTTTGTCTTAAACTCACCTTATTCCGACAAACTGTAAAGTAAGCACCATTACTTGGCCTTAGGCATACCGCATTACAAAGAATATATAGTCGCCGAACGAATGCGAAAAGCGTTTTTTTTTTTTCATCCTCGCTATCATCGCAAGGAACTGTCCACATACTCTGGGGTTGTCCCTTCACCCACTGCACAACGACGAGCAGCGGCCAAGGATTCTTCAGTCACGGACCCGGCCGCTGAACAGCGGCAGCGGCCGGGTTTGGGCGACCACAGGCCCGGGTACAACAATCGGCCCTCAACAGCGGCAGCGACATATCCTCCACTCTTCAAACCTTTCCTATCATCTAACTTTTATCGTAACATCGTAGGTAACCCTACCAATTACCATTCACAAACTTCCTCCTTCCCTCCCCTCACAAACATCAATTTAACGGTAAGTCTCACTGTCATTTATGTATCTTAACGTAAATTCATGGGTTTTTCCCCATATTCATGGCATAGTACATGGATATGGGTTTTCCCATGTTGTCTTGCAGTAAAAGTGGCCACCGGTCTTAGTTAGGACGGCCGGTTTCTTTTGCGCGGCGTAGTTAGGTCGCCGCCCTCCTCGCGAGGCCAGTAACGTAAGTTAGGGCCACTAAAAAAAAAAAAAAAAAAAAAAAAAAGCGTGTCACTGGCGCGTGTTTATTGAAATAGCGCGCTGTTGTTGCATTGAAATATTGGGCCTGTTCCAGCGCCTCCAGAAACCTCCAGAAAGCTCCAGAAAGCTCTAGAATCCTCCAGAGAGCGTTCCAGCGCCTCCAGAAAGCTCCAGAAAGCTCTCGCCAAAGCTCCAGAAACCTCCAGTAGCCTCCAGAGAGTTGAGAGGTCCAAATTTCTCTGGAGGCTCTGGTCTACAATTATGGTGCACATGTGACAATCACGAATGTAAACAAAGGACATTTGACTGATTATTTTACAACTTGAATGTAAAGAAAATTACATTGCTATAATTTTATTTATCTTTTTAACTAAAATTGAAAACAAATTTTGCGTTTCAAGAGAGAACAATCGTCATTCTTTTGGTATCTATGACGCCAATCTCCAGAAATCTCCAGATTGCGTTCCAGCGCCTCCAGTAAAACCTCTGGTAGAGCCTCCAGTCAAGAATTTCTTCTGGAGGCGCTGGAACAGGCCCATTACAGGGATAGATCAAGATCAAGATAGGTTCCTTGTTTTCCGGCCCATTCTGCACATTTTTTTGTCTAATTTTATTGTGAATGGAAAAGTGGGAAACTGAAGCCACGCTTAGGACGCCACCAGCGCATAGTATTGGTATCAGATCTTTCGCTACTCTGACGCGGTTAGTTCCAAGGTTCCAAGGTTAGTTCCGGAACTTCAGGCCGTATTTACGACCGTCGTAACCATGGCCAGTCGCCTATCGCTGGAAATCAAAATGGAATGTTATATCCTGTGGTGAATTCAGTGTGTATTTTATTCATCTAGCAGCTTTGCATAGGTTTTTTTGTGTTGATACATTGACATCCTTTCTATATTCTCCTGACCCTGACCTGAATTTGCTGCTCAGCAGAATATTCTGTGAGTGTCACAAAATATTATGCCATCCAATGGCTTATGCCAGACAGGGTCACCGGGCAGAACATTTTGCTGAGTGTGGACTGTGGAGAAGGCCTCATGTCATGTTTTATCTGTCCCTGCTAGCTTCTTTCAATCAAATCAAATGATAGTTTTATTGGTTAGCTGCAGGGCTGCAGAATGCAGAGTCAGAATCAGTTAGAGTTGGCACTCAGCAGTTTTGCCTGGGCCCTGTTCGGTCGCTGTTTTTATACCAGCGTGCTGTCAGTTTTCCCCATATAAGGAAGTTATTGCTGGCGTGGCTTGGCCTGTCATTGGTCTAACGAATAGACCACTGGAATTCAACCAATGAGGAGCCAAGAAGTAGCAGCATAGTCGCAGCCTGCTGATAAATAAACGGGGAGCGAACAGAGCTCTGGAGTTGCTAAAATCTTAGCAACTCCAGAGTTGGAGTCAACACTTCATAGCTCAAAGTCATGCCCCAAACCTGGTTGCTTGATGATGTTTCGCATCAACCTTTGAAAATAAGATTTTGTTGAAGCTGAGGACATATACTGTCATCTGGGGCTACTATGATAGTTTTGGAGATGTTTTTCCACCTCAGAAGTCAGACATGCAATTTATTTCATTACCTATATGGACTTAATGAGCAATGCATTCTCTGGAGTCAGAGCTGGAGCCAGAGTTGTAGTCAATTTTACAAGCCAGAGTCTGAACTCTGAGTCACCTAAACCTTAAAATCCATCGACTAGCCCTGGTTAGGTGTCACCAGAGATGATGGCCGATCCACTCAGGAGTCAGGAACTCCTGTGCAGACGCTGATGATCCTCATGCAGAGAAAGTTGAAAATGCTCCAATTAATCAGTTCACCTTGCTAAAACCTACACGCACGATGGCAGATTTTCCACATGAAATGCATAGGGTTTATGATAGGCATCGATGTGGCAAGTAGGCATTCTGGAGAGGGTGAATGTGGGGGGGGGGGGGGTGAATCGGAAGTTATTCATCTTTGCTCCAGTGAGGGGAAGCATTTTGCTCACATTCTCTTTTTTGTGTGTGTAGGGAAGCACCGCAAATCTTGAACAAATACGGAACCAAAAAATATAATACCGCATAGCGGCGAGGGATCCCTTAGAGTTGAGGTAGGCTTGGGATTCTCAGACCATTAGCAGACCAAATTTGGGTCACTTGGTGTCAGTGTGGGGCGTGGGCTCTTCGAATCTTGCTAAGGATCCCAGGGATCAGCGTGGGTCACCCCACACATTCATGGGGGACTAGGGCTTTCCTAACTCAATGTGGGGCCCTCAGAGGCCAGTGTGAGTGGCAGGTGCTAAAAGACCATGTCGAGCCCTCAGATAACGTGCGAACCCTCGGGTCTGTGTCGAATCGTAATGACCCCACGTAGAGATATAAGAAGTGTGCGTTGGGTTGGGACCCTCAGAGGCACACGTGAGTCGTGACCCCTCAAATGCGGCTTGGGGTCAGAGTTGTCGCCTCAAGAGCTTGCCTGAGCTATCAAAGGCCAGTTAAGGTTCTCATAAATTTTCGAAGGCATCCTCCCAAGATCCATGTGGCGGCTGGCCCTTTAGAGGTCTACATACATTGTATGTATAGGGTGCATCAAGTGTTGATATCCAATATAATTTGGAATATTTCCAATATGATCTGAAATACCGTGTTGCTGAGAATGTTCTTGCATTCCTGCATCCTTTCCTGAGGCGTAGATTATCTGAGCAGCTGATTTTGCCAGACATGAGGGTCAAACTTTTCAGTTTAGAGGTACGTAGTCGCGCTATTGGCATGTCCTATGGTGGCAACTCACAGAAAGACATTGCCTGGCACTTCAGGCCAGGGTACCAGTTCTCACTAGCAAACGCTGGTGGAAGAAGTTAAGGAGATGGGGGGGGGGGAGAAAGACTCCAATCAAGGCGGTATCAATGGTCCCTGCCATACCAAATAATTACCGATGATCCCGGAAAATTATCCCTCATTTCCCTCATGTCAAACACACGCTTAGTGGCATCCTCATTGCTCAGCACCATAACTGAAGTGATAGATACTTACAACTACTTATATGTTCACTTAACATAGAACATGTTATGCTTCTTATTGTGACCAGTTCTTTTTTATTTTTCTAACATGCTTTGATTTTTCTTCCAGCTAGCCAGAATGAGTCAAGCACCAGCCAGCCAGGACGGTCTTCCAAACACCCAGGACATTTCTGATGTCGAGGCCATCTATTCCCAAAGTCAGGAGCAGCCTGGCGGCGACGTCCAGAAGTGGGGCCGCCTGTTCCCCGTCGGCATCCGTGCCAAGTTTGACGGCCTAGGTATGATGCTCGACTCTGGGGCATGTGCTATATATATTTGCTGTTAACCCGCATTCCACTGAGGGGGGAGGGCTTAATTCATAGCCCCTCCGGCCTCCCCCTCCCGTTTTTCTGCAATAACTTCCAAACCGCTTGACGTATCGACGCCAAACTTTCAGTACCTTCGGCTGCATCAATTTGACACCTTTTGATAAAATATGAATTTCGTAACTACTATAGGTCGGCCGGAAATGACGTCAGGGTGACGTCATGTTCGGCCGATTTCGACGCAAAACATTGAACCACGGCAATCGCTCCCAAGAGCTCAGTTTTTAAGCTAGATCCAATTTCTTTGCATGAGAGGACTCAGAATGGACTGCGATATCAAACTGCTATCTCGGATTTTCAAAATTTTGAAAAAATTAAAAACTCAAAAGTTATAGTTTTTTTCAAAAAGTTTTTTACTTTTCGAAAAAAAAACAGAATATTTGTCATAGAACATGTTTATGACTTACTCTAGCAAGTTTTAGCCAGATATCTTCAAAAATGGCCAAGTCATACGCATTATAGCAAAAAAAAAAAAAAAAATCACAATGATAAATATTCAAATAAACTTTTCAGTACCTACGTATTTGACATCGCACACCAATATAAATAGCACCATCGTGTTCCTGAGCCCAAACTGCATCCGATAAATACCTTTATTGTTCAAAGATTTTAACTTTAAAATTTGACCTGTTTTGACCTGAAATTGGCCTGACCTAAGCTAAATTCAACTCAATATGACCTCGAATGACATAAACGACATCGAATTCGAAATATGTGGCCTAAATGGATCATAAAACATGTGTCACGTGACCGATGCATGCTATAAGATTTCCTTGACCTGTGATGACCTGGCCTGGCCCTGACCTGAAAATCAAAATACAAGTTTGTTACCCTCAGGGTATCTAAAGCATCTGTTCACGAGTGTGTAAACCAAAAATGAGCCTGATCTGACTTGTAAGCCGGCGGCCAGAGCCCAAAATGTGAAGAAGCCAAACATTGATAATTTTTACTTTGACCTGACCTGTGACGTCATTGGTGACCTCGAGGTCAATGAAATTAGGTTCCGTTCGACAGTTTTTCCGGGGCTATCAGGTGCCGTTTGAATTTTGACGATCGGCCCAGTAGTTTCGGAGTTAGGAGGGGGGGGGGGGGCTATGAAGAGCCCCCCCCCCCCCGTAGGGCGCTTTATACGCAGACCCCAGTGGGGCGCGGGTGAAATGACTGAAGGTAATGAAAAGATGTTCGTATTGTGATGCATTAAATCTGTGTTTATAGCATGCTTGTGTTTTGATGTTTAATGCGTTTACTTAATGCACTTATTTGAATATTGCCTGTTTATATAAGAATATTAACTATATTGTTGCCCACCATATGTATAGATGCATGCCCCTCCAGAAACAACGCAGTCTGTTTATTCACCGGCGTCGGCGCTGACCTGTGCCCGGTGCGGCTCACCACAGATATGTTCAAAAACGAGTACACGCTGGGCCGCGGCGAGTCCTGCGACGTGGTCGTCGGCCTGCACAACCTTGTCGAAAAGTACCTGCTCACCATCAGCAAAACGCACCTCAAGTGAGTCCAAACCTGTCGGCTGCGGTTCCTTTCATCACCTGTACCTGTTGCATTCTTACCATAATTGCCAGTCCAGTTTCTGGCGTACCGTTCAAACATTTTGTTGGTTGTATAAGCATTTATTAGTTTTATTAGTTAGAACGACCTAGAGGTACTTAAAGTGACCCAAATTATTTGTTTCGACTGTTAGGTCTTATTCATATAGGAATAGATGATATGAATATTGATATATTATCCATAGGAAACCTGAAATCCGGTTCTTGCTCAAATCAAAATGCTGCTTCTTTACTTACGGATGGTTATGTCTCAGAGAAGCAGATAAACTCATACATTTTGCGCTTGGCCCTGGTGAAGGTCGCTCTAAACTCGTCAACTGTAGCTCATGTTGCCACTCTGCAGGGTGGTGAGGGCCGAGGCGTCCACCGGCTGGCACGTGTACCTGGAGGATCTGAGCTCCAACGGAACATTCGTCAACGGAGAGCTAGTCGGCAGGGGCAACAAGGTGGCGCTCAAGAACAACGACGAAATCTCGCTCTCCATGAAACTCCTCAAAGGTTAGCTGCGTTTATCTGCGAAATCCCAGCGCGTTGTTGAGTGTATGTCAATGCGCCTCATCTTCAGTGGATTTGTTTGTCACTTAATGCAGTAAGCATATTTTTTAGGGCTCATTTAGTTTATTTACCTTATCTTAACTTACCTTACCTTACCTTACCTTACCGATAACGGTAATTTTGATGGCCACTATGGCCTGTTAGGTCCCGGTCGCATCGAGCTTCTGAACTAAGGACTCTTGTGGATGCTACTTTGGGATGGAATATCTTATTCGGATTTAAGCACATTTTATAAAGGTGACAATTCGTCATCGAAAACTTAAGACCCATTCAGTCTGGTGTTTGCTGGGTGGGTAGAGGCAGATTCGCATTCACCCTAAATGTACCATTCAAGTGCTTGTGGTTGCTGCAGATGACGTCTTGCAAGGAACAGTCTTTGTAACAAGCGGCTCGTTGACGCATCATATGCCTGCAGTTTATCTAGGCATTATGAGATCGATACCGTTAGTTCAGCACGGCGATGTGCGCACTGACCGTGTCTGGGGGGTCCAGCCCACCGATATACCGCCGTGTTACCGGCCGTCCCCGTGTCTCTCGGCAGTGTTTGTGTTCTGGCCGTGTATCGGGTGCCCACCGATATACCGCCGTGTTACCGGCCGTCCCTGTGTCTCTCGGCAGTGTTTGTGTACTGGCCGTGTATCGGGTGTCCACCGATATACCGCCGTGTTACCGGCCGTCCCTGTGTCTCTCGGCAGTGTTTGTGTTCTGGCCGTGTCTGGGGGGTCCAGCCCACCGATATACCGCCGTGTTACCGGCCGTCCCCGTGTCTCTCGGCAGTGTTTGTGTTCTGGCCGTGTATCGGGTGCCCACCGATATACCGCCGTGTTACCGGCCGTCCCTGTGTCTCTCGGCAGTGTTTGTGTACTGGCCGTGTATCGGGTGTCCACCGATATACCGCCGTGTTACCGGCCGTCCCCGTGTCTCTCGGCAGTGTTTGTGTTCCACGACTACACGGATAACGACTCGGCCAGCTACCCGGAGCAGCTGCGCGCCCGGTACACCATGTCGCGCGTGCTCGGAGCCGGCGCGTGCGGCGAGGTGCGACTCGCCTTCCGCAAGGTCAGACACGCCCCGTCCCGCTCCCGGCCCACAGACTATGCCGGTACGGCTCGGAGGGAGGGAGGCGATGGTGGCTAATCATCCCCATTAGTTTGACCAGTCACTCGTGGGCTTCGATTCAAATACATCTGCTCACTGTTCTGAGTGTTCAGTGCCCACAGTCTGTTTAAGGCGGGCAACGAGGTTCATGCGAACATAGAACTAATTTATACCAAGTTCATGAAATTCCTGTGAACTGATTTAACAAGAAAATCTAATTGCGGAGCGAGCGAAGCGAGCGTAGTCTTTCCTTAGATTAACGGAAATTTTTTAGTATGAGCGGCCGGCCGGCCGTGCGGACGCTTTTGCGAGGCTTATATCTCAGCAACCACTGAACCGATTTACACGCAGTAATTTTTGTAGGTAACTTCATTCCTTCTACCAAGTATTGGACTATTCCCGATGCATGTGGGTGACCCCTTATGCACGTGCCACGTGCAAAACGAGAGGTGTCAGTTTGGTAAAAATTGCAATATCTCGGTAACCACTGGGCCGATTGCGCTGAAAGTTGGCATGTAGGTAGGCACCCATTAGGCAATGCATATCCATGTGCCAGAGTTGGGATGCTGCTGCACGTACGCACGTGTAGAGGTCGTTTCCAGATCTCGAGAACGGCTGGACGATGGCACTCAAATTTTGAACACGGTTAGGGACCAGTTGGGCAGTTAGTAGGGTGCCGTGCACAGGCCAGTTGGGACCCACTTTGCACGTGCGTACGTGCAGGGTGCCGCTTTCAGATCTCGAGAACGGCTGGGCCGATTGTACTCAAATTTGGCACATCGCTAGAGACCGGTTAGTAGGGTGCCGTGCACAAGTCAGTTGGAGGTACCCCCTCGCAATTTCGCACGTGCGAGGCCCACCCTCTCGCTCGCTCTGTTAGTTGCCCCAAAAGGCGTTATACTGGTGTTTAAATGTCTTGATAACTTTTGCTTCCTGAATATATGTTTCATGGTTACATGGGCGGGCATTATTTTCTGGCTAGTTAACGACCTAAGATCAGGAGCAGGACGTCTCATAAGTCATGGGAGCTTCATTGGGTGAGTCTGACATTGGACCCGACTCCCAGGGCACCATGGAGCGATTCGCGATCAAGATAATCTCCAAGAAGAAGTTCACGCTGCGCGGGCAGCACCAGATCAACCAGACCGATGCGGTGGCCAACGAGGTGAACGTGCTGCGCGCGCTGGACCACGTAAGGACTGCAGGGTCGCGGATAGCTGCTTGTGACGGTAGGATCAGCTGGGTGCAATGGGGTGGGGGTGTGGTAAATGCCAACTGGTGCCAAATGGGTAAATGGTGTGAATGAGAGGTAGGTTTATATTCCTAACGTGAAATCTCCCCGTTCAGAGTATTAGTACTTACTGTGATCTGTTGTCGTTTTGAGACACCCGCTATGATCGGTTCACATTCGTATGCCGTACGCTCGGATGCTGTAGTCAGTCAGTCAGTCCAGCCGCCGGTACTCTCACCGCCAGCCGTGCGTGATTCGGATCCACGACGTGATCGACTCGCCGGCGGCCGTCTACATCGTGCTGGAGCTAGTCGAGGGCGGCGAGTTGTTCGACAGAGTCATGGCGCTCAAACAGCTCGACGAGCCCACCGCCAAGCTGTACTTTTACCAGATGCTGCAGGCGGTGCGCTACCTGCACCAGAAGGGAATCGCGCACCGCGACCTCAAGGTTAGTGGGTGGGCTTATTCGATTGGGGATCTGTTTGGCTTTTCTAAATTTCATGCTGACCGGTGTTTTATACCAGACAATAGCTCGGTGTTTCTGGCTAAATTGTTTCAGCTTTCTTCCACACCCTCGTGTGATTTCTTGTTGAAGTATCACCCATTTAATCTGGTCGGGAGTTTTGTGTGCTCGTTTCTCTATATCGGTAGAAAAAGACCCATATCTGCATTTGTGAAGCTGAGTATCTTAACTGGATTTTGAAATTGCGTACTTTATCCTAAACAGTTAAGGGTTACTGTATAGTTAACTGTCCCAACTGTCTATTGTCTCGCGCACTGTTCGTGAGTAAAGTAGATCACGATACCGAGGGTAAAGCGGGCCGCACTGACATCTGTGCGTTGTTGGGTAGGTACTTTATATTACATAATTGCGTTGAAGTACAGTACTTTGAACACAGCGAGCAATCACTGTCGCTCATCGGACGTCCGCCAGCGCCCGTTCCCCACGGTCTATAGCCGGCTCCCGTCCGTCCCTCAGCCGGAGAACGTGCTGCTGGCCTCGGAGGAGCAGGAGACGCTCGTGAAAATCACCGACTTTGGCCTGGCCAAGATCGTGGAGGAGGACGGTCTGTTGAAGACGCTCTGCGGCACGCCCACCTACGTGGCGCCGGAGGTGCTGCGCCGCCGGCCGGACGCCAACTACACACACAGTGTCGACTGCTGGAGCCTGGGCGTCATACTCTTCATCTGGTATGCGCCGCGGCGTGGGCAGCAGCGGCGCCGGGGCCCGACAGGCTGCTGGGTGGGATGGGAGGCGGCCATGATGTTGCAGCTGTTAGGCTGTTAGGTTTGCTATAGATCGTGTACCGTACAGTGCTTAGGCTCCCTGAGCTACTGTGTATCTGTGGGAGGCTTTATCTATTTTATTATTCTTTATTCATTTTTGTAGCTACGGTACATCAGATTACTTACATCACAAACCACAAACGCTGGCATTGACGTCCCGTAGCCTAGCCACCAGGCTGAGCTGTGTGACACCCCCCGGTCCGCCGGGTGGCTGCTGACCGGGGCGCACCTCCCTCCGCCGCAGTCTGGCCGGGTACCCGCCGTTCTCGCCCGAGTACAAGGACATGCCGCTGCAGGAGCAGATCCTGCGCGGACGCTTCACGTTCCAGCGGCGCCAGTGGCGCGGCGTCAGCGAGCCGGCCAAAGACCTGGTGCGCCGCCTGCTCACCGTCGACCCCGCCCAGAGAATCTCCGTGGAGCAGGCGCTGCAGCACCCCTGGCTGCAGGTGAGTAGGTGTTACTGCAGGACAGCATCTCTGGCTGCATGTCGGCAGGTGCTAATGGAGCAACCCCGGCCGCTGGTCATAGGTGCTAACGCGACATCTCTGGTTGAAGATAAATTAGGTGCCGCATTAGCTTATGTGCTAGGTAAACCATAAGAATGACTCATCTCATTCGTAGCAACTTCATGCGTGTTCGCGTTGATCGTTTTCGCGAACTGACACTCTGGTATTACGCTCTGCACTGTATGTAGCATATGTAGAGCGTAACCTTTACGTCTAAGCAATATGCTGAATTCAATACAGGCTTATCGACAGCCTGAGGCAAGTGCTGTGTGCCCCGTATGAACGCAGGTGTTCGCTGATCAGCCATATGTGGTAGCTGAGTGCTCGTGTGTGACGCCGTGTGTGTCGCCGGTCGACAGGACAAGAAGACGGCGGCGGTGGCCGACCGGCTGATGGGCCGGGGGAAGCGGCGCGCCGAGGACTGTCTGGCGCCGGCCGGCCGCCGGAGACGCACCCTGGCCGACGTCAACGGCCACCAGGAGACGGCGACGTCCTGAGCGGACGGCGGCCCTACGCAGGGCGGACGATATTCAGCAGCTGGCCGGGGCGGCAGCGTGCTGCTGAAAGGAGACGGCCCATTGCAGGCGGCGGTCGCGCTTGTCTCTCGCCGGGTCGCCGTCGATCTGGGCGTTCCGCGGTGCCTCGCTGGCTGGTAATACTCGAGGGGCGGCTCGCCCGTCCGGCCACCGCCGGCGTCTCAGCCGGGCAGCGCCGGCCGACCAGAGACTGATGTCGCTGCTGCGCTGGAAGTGGACGGACTAGTACCTGAACGGGGTGGGCTGTGGACGGCTGGAAGCCCGGCAGACGGGCAGTCTGTCGCGTTGGTGGAGGACGCGGGTTACCGCGGCGGTGGCCTTGCTCTGTGCCTGGGAGCTGTGCTGTGCTGATAGTCCAGAGCGAGCCTTGTCCAGAGTGCTTGTACTTTGGTAGCGTGTAGTCTGCACCTTGGTGCAATCTCTGAACAGTCTGCACGCGTCTTGCCGTGATGTCCTGTGGGGACTGGGGTGAGCCACGCCCGGCTGGGACCGTCAGGCGGTCTGACGGCACTGGGGCCCCGATAGCGGGCGGGTGGCTGCAGCGTTTTGTGAACATTGTTATCGCATCGTCGTCTGACTCCGTAGGTGATACTGCCGCTCATGACGTAGGGTTTTCTATTCCTTTATGAGGCTACAATGAGTGTGGCACATGTTTCCTGAAGCAGCGTATAATATGCGTGCTCGTGTCTGTATTGATGTGTTTCTGCCTCGCAAGACCGTTTTTGTACTTTTGTTTCATCATGTGATCAAGTGAATTGATTTCTCAGATATTCATTGGCAAGTGCCAACGTAGTTGACCCAGGAATAATAAACTTACACTGTTCATGAGTAGTGGTCGCTTTGACACCCTTCAAATCAGACTGCGGTTAGCGTCCACGCACGCCGTCGACTGACTGACATGATAAGTGGACACCAGACAACCGTGCGTACATGGGTGGTAAAGTATAATGACCGATTACAAAGAATCCTCGGTTACAGTGCAAAACGGAAGAGCAGCATGCCTCCTACCTACGTATTTGGTATTATCGGCGGGCCGCCCCTGCTGACTGTCCATGATAGGCCAGGGCTGCCGGCCGACTGAAGACACGCACATATTATACAGATCTGGAATGACTGGCGACCACGGATCCACAATGCATCGCTCACCATCACTGCTATCGTAATACACGGACAGGTCCCCAATAACTCTGCACGAGCGTTCCCTACCGGCCCGGCGGCAGCCGATCAGCTGACCAGTCGTCTGACTGCCGGCCCTTCCAGCCGGGGCCGGTGATGTCCCACGGACTCTGGCAGGGCAGCACGGCGCGGCGCGGCGGCTCGCACCGAGCCCCGGCCACCGGCAGAGTCTGCGTGTGTGAGCGGCCAGCGCAGGCGGGCCCGCCCGCCCGCAGCCGTTCGTTGTTGGCCCAGCGCGGCGGCGGGCGCGGTCTTTGAGATCACCCGGCCGGCGGGAGTCCATGCACGCCCCGGCCTTTCACTAGCGCGCGCCCGACTTGGACTTGGCGATGAGCCATTGCAGCGTGATGTCGATGTTGTCCTTCTCCTTGCAGGAGATGGAGTAGCAGCAGATCTCGCGGTCCTGCACCGCCGACAGGTTCCTGGGGAAACGACGTGGCAGATATAGTGCAACTGAGACCAACCTCGGTGAAAATTGTATGACGAGTAGGTACTGCAATAATGACAGCTCTTAGTGTTCAAACCTTATCGCTTGAATAGTTTGAAACATAAACTATTAATATGCATTGAAGCTCCGTGATCAAAACTCAACAATCGAGTGGTCCCTAAAAGTCGACCATTGCGTGATTAAATGGCGTTTTTCGGCACTCTGGTATAAATTAAGTACGGCAACTCACAGTCTTTCGATGAGTCCCTTCTCATCGAGAGCGTTAGGCAGGTCACGTTTATTGCCCAATACGAGGACGGGCAGGCCAGCTAGCTGCGGCTTGTCCAGCAAATTGTGAAGCTCGTTCCGTGAGGCCTCCAGCTTGTCCATGTCCGCGGCATCCACCATGTACCTGGCGGCAGGACGACAAATGGTTAACTTGGACGACCCTCATACCGGTGCTCCAAAACCTTTTCTTTTAAGCCCGAAACAGAATTAATGGTCGTGCTTAAACTTTGAATTTTTCCTATCGTCGAGCATAGTTATTCTTACCTTTCAATCTGATCTTCTGAAATTGTTACGAGCAAAAAGATTTGACCCAAACTGAGGTAAGACATCTACTGACGCCTGACGGATTATATGACAAGTCATCGGGCAAAAAGGAGATACCTACTACAAAGCCAGCACTTAAGAAAGCCATCATACACAATACATACTGTGGCACACATGCTCATTCATTAGTAGCTCATGAACATGCTATTACCCGGCACAAGATTAATTTGGCCGCGGAGAGGTCCGGCGGCTTGGCACTTACACGATGGCGTTGACGCCGCGGCAGTAGCGCTCCCACATGGAACGGAAGCGAGGCTGGCCGCCGATGTCCCACAGCTTGATGGTCACATTGCCCTTCGAGATCTTACGCATGTTGAAACCAACGGTTGGAATCATGTCCTCGCTGAATTGACCCGACTGGAAAAGGAGAATGCATGCTGGTCACATATTTCGACTGTATCAACTTCTATCTCTTCTTAACTTCGGGAGGGGGGCGTTTTTGGCAACACCAGTCACCACCGGCCAGTTTTTTTTTTTTTGCGCAAGGAAAACAGCAGCGTACAGCGCCGCGAAACTTGGTATACCTTATGATACGCCAATTTAGCATCGCGTGTGATATCTCTGACCCCAGGTCACATAAGGTCAGGTCAACAGATCAACTTAAGTGATCATGCCTATAAAAACTTGATGTTTTTGTCAATCCCAATTCCCAAAGTTGACATCTTAGAAGTTTGAACCTCGGACTATTGCATGAGGGAATCAGTACCAGCAATGTGTAATGTGTATCCCTCGGAATTTTGATATCGGTGACCTAATGTCAGGTCAATATCGCGATCTCTTCATGTCAATGTGGGATAAAATTGAAATACTCTTCTTTCGAACGAAAACACTCAAACATCGGGGATGTGAGTAAGCATGACACACTGAATCGGATAATTGCACCCGTGACCCTGTTTCGAAGTTGGCTGCGGGGCCCACCCGGGCGCGGGTTAAGACACCTGGATGCCCCGGAATGTCCCCATGACTTGAAGATCCCATGTGTACAGGGAGACTCCACTGTGGCCTGTGCGTGCGGTGAGACAGACAGGTATGTGAGGGGCAATTGTAACTCTGAAGAAATGACCTTATCTTCTTGCATCTCAAACACTATGTTGCTGAAACCTACCCAGTTACCCACCCCTCCCATGTGTTGGGAGATGTGCTCAAATGTGTGCCATGACCAGTGAGGATTGAGAAATGCTGGGAAACACTTCAAAACCTCAACCCGCGCCCCGTTGGGCTATTGGCGGACCCTACCACCCATCAACCCTCGCCGCACCTATTGGTTTCCTACATACGCGCCGGCCGAGGGGATGGGGCGGGTACGACCCCCCCCCTCGCCATTTCGCCCCTGGTGGAGCTAGCGCGTCGCGGAAAAAACGGGCGTGTGCGCCGTTACGAGACGCATACCCGATTTTAAGGTCCTAAGTCAACCGGTGACCTCTGAGGTCAGGTCAAGTGTTCCAAGGTGCGGTTCCGTTTTTGGTGAATAACTTCGCAAAAAACAGCCGCAGAGCCGCGATTTTGGCAGCATCGTGTTCGATCGCTCAGGCGCGTCGAATGATATACTTTTTGTTTGGGTTAGGTCAACTTAGGGTGTTGACCTCGTCACCTCGGGTCACGGTCAGGTCAGCACCCCCATGTCACGAAATTGGTCGAAGGAGGTTATGTCGCATACCATTCGATTTGGCAGGTCTTCCTGAGTCCATTGGTGGCTTTCCCGACTCGCTAGCTCAATTTGATCGGGAGTTAGTGACGAAAAACTAGGTAGGGCGCAAGGTCAACATTGCAGAAGTGAAGCATCGAACCTTGCAAGGAGTGCATGAAATCACGATTCTGTGTGCTTGAGATAGTTGGAGATCGTTCCCGGTGCCAAAATAGCAGTTTTCATTTTTCCCTATTGACTTATACCTAATGGTGAGGTCACGAAAATGACCTGACCTCACATGACCTTTAGGAAAAATCCGAGATATACAAGTTGTGACACTCCTAATGGATACTAGATAGTAGATCCTGCAAGTTTCATTTCCCTGTGAGAGCTCCTCTGGCAGTGAGGGCGTTGCGAAGTTGCGACATGTGAAGACCGTGCAGAGGTTCACTTACGACGTCATAGGTCGGTGACTTGACCTGACCCGAAAATGCGGTTGGTGTCAAAAGATCTGACTTGAATCAAAGGTCAGGTATGCTAAGTTTCAGCTCTCTATCGCCGGCGTGTTCGGAGCTATCGTGAAAAAAAAAACTATGTGGGGGCGGCACCCGCACCCTCCCCCCCCCCCCCCTCGGCCGGCGGCCGAGGGTTAAGGGGGAGGCGTTTCGGCCCCCTCGCCCAACATCTCGGAAAGTTACCAACCGATTTTGAAAATTCAGACGGTGTTGGATAGCCCCACCAGGGAACTAGCTTGTGACCAGGTTTCGTTGACCTAGGTGCAACCGATGACGTCACAGGGCAGGTCAAAGGTCACATTTTTCACTGATCACGCCCCTTCTAAGGAATGCGTTATAACATCGAATAAAAGGCATGTTATCGAAGATCATTGATAGAGCGTTGGTTGCCTAAAACATATTTTGCTTAGAGAGGTCACTGATGCCATGTCAGGTCACACAGGTCAGGACACTAAGAGTCACAATATGAACCCACCTACATATACTGGGGTCATGACTCATGTGATGTTTCTTGGCCAATTTTACCTTATAAATTCAATGGTATGGGCTAGACAACCATTAGGGCCATTTTAGGGTACGTTCTGGTAGAGGTCAGGTCCAGGTCAGGAAAAAAGTCAAATATTTAAGTTGATACTTTTGCATAAAAAGGGCATCTCTTTGATGCAGCTCATCACGAGAAATCCAATGGTGGTCCTCATTTCACTATATGATTGGTCTAGAACAGCTAAAATTTTAGTTGAAAATTAAACAATAATTTTGAGTAGGTAGTTTAATTTTTTGCCATAACTTTGTCAAAAATGGAGCTATTAAGCTCAAATTTGGTATATCAATAGCAGATGAATAGATCTATAACATATTTTGGTATCTTTGAGAAGAAAAAATCGGAAAAATTGGTATTTTTGGCTTATTATATAAAAAAATGACTAGTTTTGGGGGTCAAAATCCAAAAAATTAAAAATCCTAGATAGCAGTTAAAGCAGTTTTGTAGCCCTGTTCATTCCACAACTTTTTGATGGTAGACATTTTTCTCTATCTTCAAAACTGTACTTATGACAGCTTTTCCAGCAAAACTTTTTATCAAAAATGACAGAACACGGTCTCATTCTGATGTCATTGGTGGCAGGGTCTAGAAAAATTTTAACAAATTTTTACTGCGTCCCAAAGTGGAGCAGAGGGCATGTGCTACAACTAAGGACACAGGACAAGGAACAGATAAGGGCACTGAGGAGGGCAGAAAGTAGGGCACGGCAGGTTACAGGGCATGGCACAGGACATTTTAGAGGGAAGGGTACAGGTCAGGGCACACAGCAGGGCACAGGTCAGGGAACCGGACAGGGCACAGGGCAGGGACGCAGTGGGTCAAATCAGCAGGGGCTACGTCCCAAGGCGAGGGAGCTGCGTCCCAGAATGGGATGCAGTAAATGCCTTTAAATATGCCCTGATTTGTGGCCAACCTATCATGGGCTCTAGAAAAATTTTGGATCGCAAGGTAAAAATTAATGCCCGGAAGGGTCCTGAAAGTTTGGTGGTGATAGCTCTTATACCTACTTAAGGAGATATCAACTGAACAAGAGACTGGCCCGTTTTGCCCCCCCCCCCCCCAATGAATCGCAGGTCAACACACCAACTTTGTCCATGTTCCAGCACATCAAATAACTTTCTTTGTTATTAATGGACCCACAAAGCAGACAAAAATATTTTACAACAAACTACAGCAATACGTTCACTTTCACATAATGCATAACTATATGTTCAAATAAAAATATTCAGTCACAACGCACCTCAAAGTGCTAGGCACGTAACATGATAACATGGATCAAGCCTGTGCTAGAAGCTAGCCTCTAGCTAGAATAAAGATAAGTAAGTACTTACAGCAATCACATTGACAAATGTAGTTTTGCCAGAGTGTTGAAGGCCAACCAGAGTAAGCTCCATTTCTTCTTTCCAAAATAAGCTTTTGACCCAGTCCAGAAACTTATTCACAAGGGACATCATTTTGAAGAATTGAAAAGAGATCTGAAGCTCAGATAAGCTGAATGGCTAATGTAACCCCGAACCCGTAGTTTTCTGCAACAACTTTACTTTTAGCCCTGCGCACCCCGCCCACTATCTCATTTTTGTGATCAAAATGCAAAATGATTCATAACATTATTTATGGATGGTAATTTTCTCAGCACTAAAAACCGGTCATTTTGTGGTACTTTCGGCAAAACTAGGCATTTCCAGTTAATTTGAGGTATAACAGGGTCATTTAGCACCTAACCAGTTATAACACCTATTTAAGGGACTTTAGCACTGCTTTCAGTCTAATTCGCAGTACTTTTAGTTTGAATGGCACCTAATGGTAGTCATTTCGCACTATTTTTGGTAGATGTTTAGGCATCCCTACTAAATCTAGAATGATTTTAGTATATTATGGAGAAATAAACTACAATACTAGTCTGTACTAGCTACAGATTGTTTGTTGCCAGGTCGATTAGCGTCTGTTTCGGCGCATGCGTTTTGAGAGGACCGATAGGACGCAAGGCGCGCTTCTTGGACGGATTTGGCAAGGAATTTGGATAGATTGATTTACGTACGGCCTCAGCGTGTGCCGATCATCCTGCCTTTTCTTGTCCAAGAGTGAACTGAGCGAGGTTCTTAGCATGGAGTGATGACGATTTCCGCGAGGATGCCAGGTCGATTAGCGTCTGTTTCGGCGCATGCGTTTTGAGAGGGCCGATAGGACGCAAGGCGCGCTTCTTGGACGGATTTGGCAAGGAATTTGGATAGATTGATTTACGTACGGCCTCAGCGTGTGCCGATCATCCTGCCTTTTCTTGTCCAAGAGTGAACTGAGCCTACCGTCCGCCCAAGCGTAGGGGAGAGTGGGGTGGGTTGTATCAGTTTTTACTCCGAGACCCATAACCTCGTAACTATCCGTGATAAACTCATTATTTCCATACTATCTCCTTCCTTGATTCTTCTGCTTTTTTGTGCAAAGTAACTTTTGAGCTACTTCTACTAGTATTTCTTCTACGGTCTGCCGAATAGGACAATGTTTTTGATACAACTTGCCCCATGGCTTGGGTGAGTTGTATCACATGGTGGGGTAATTTGTATCACTATTTCACGTTTCAGGGAGTGTGCTTGCTACTGGTTTTGAACATAACAACAACATTAAATGGGGTTAATGCAATGCATATGCTCAAAGGCTTCACTTTTATTAAACCAAACTTAGGCCAATCCGAACGAAACATCGAAACGAACGAAACATCAACAGACTAGACGCAAAAGTGACCCGTTAAGAGCAAAGCAGCCAACACATTGTGCCGAAATGGAACGAGTATTGACTAGCTACCTACAAACGCGAGCCAGGGCTTAGCTTTCGCGATCAAAAGCAACATACCCATACATACATACATACATACATGCTACAACATACCCCACCCGGCTCTGATACAACATGTACCTCGCCGCCATCTTGGAAAAAACATCCTCGTGCTCAAAAACAGCGGACAGCTGGAGAAATCCATTTTCACTCACGCAGCCTTAGAACCTACCCTCACCACCGCTACGGAGATCTTTCAAATTCGTGCACATCTAAATGCCCAAAACACACATTTTCCTGCAACTTATTTTTTTAGAATGACATTAAAAAAACATAAAATCGGCTCTCACCTTGAGACGCGTCCACCCAGCCACACGACAGAACAGGGAAAGATGGCGCCCGGAAAACCTCGTCGGCTGGTCGTGTCACGAGCGCTATCTATTGGATAAGTTTGGCACAATTCGCCCTGATACAACTTGGACATGATACAACTCACCAGTCACCCCGCTCTCCCCTACTGGTCCGCCGACCGCCAGTGCTGCTGTCTTTATTCTGTCAGGTTATCTAACGGCGCTATGGGCATGTAGGTACAGCATTGCAGTAGCAAATGCTTAATCTAAATGTGCGGTGGCATTTTCCCATGCTTAGTAGGAAGCGCTCGACGTCCCTTCCGTACGTGTCGTGGAAGGGACGTGTCTGACTGTTATTGACGCACATCAACTAGATGGATCTTGATTGTAGCATTTCGCAGCAGCGTTTCGTCGTTCAGCGGCGTAACGCCTAGCCAGCTCTCGTTTCGAGGGGGTGGTACTTTGCTGAGGAGCATGAGTGGTCACGCTGCATCGTGAGCCAGATGAAGCCGGAGGGCAGACCGTGTACCGTACATTTGCGTACATGATTTTGTCCCACGAACCTAAGCGATGCGCATTTTTGTCCACAAATTTACCTAATGTATACCCAGCATGCCTATTAGTCGTTAGGGGGCAGCACCGGGCGTGGTGTATTGCGTAGAGGGCAGGACCAAGGCCCTAAATACAGGCAGGACCTATGCCACGAAACTTGCTCCAATTCCGTTTTCATCGTGGAAGTAATACGCTGAATGGAGGATCATACTTTGATGTCCAACTTACGTACCTACAACATAAAAAAATAAATACCTCAAGGCTCAAGAATACTGTGATCATAGCAGTAGCTCGTGCTCGGCAGTGAAATCATGAATAGTGCTCATATACCGGATTTAGTGCAAAATGAGCTACCACACACCCATTTATTATGCCAGATCTGGCATCGCCTCTATACTAACTAAAATAGTGCGGAATGACCGGATATACCTGTGTTTGACAGGAATTGCCTGCGAAAAGACGATAGTGCAAACTGAACTTATGATAGTGCAAAATAACTGAAATTTAGGTACTGAAAAAATTATCCCCCATTATTTATCCACTCAGACAATGGAGAGCAGACAGCAATAGTCTGTTCAAATTAGGGTGTGGGACACTACCCGCTGCAGATATCAATGAGTTCTGTTACCAATCAAAACAGTCCGAAACAGTAAGCAGAACTACTGAACATAATAATGTCCCTTTTGCGCCATGAACGAATAAAAGATACCAATAACCTGCTGCTAATTGAAAAATATTGCGAAAAATCTTTAATTAGCAATTTTGTAATCTTCGTTTCTTTATCATCAGAGTCAGTCACACTTCTTAGGTCTGCCCAAACATTTTTTCTTCATGTTTGAGTACTCATCTGGTCATATATTTAAATTTTCATATGTATTGTTGTGAAAAACTAATCAGAATATCTTACCATCTAGCTGGCAGAAAGCGCCAGCGCGTCCCCGGTGGCCTCGCCTCGTTCGGGAGATGGGAAGTCGGAAGTCGGAACTAGGTCGGAACGGTGTGAGCCAATCCATTCGAGGTAATTCAGCAGAAATCCCAAAATACCTACGGCCTTAGCCCTTATATAAGCCAAATGAGTAGTTGGACAGTTGGACTGCACCAACTGATGCCCATGGCCGTCTCAGTGTGTTGGCTTCAGGCCATCATCTTATTGATTCCATAAATTGATGCCTAAGCGCACTAGCCTCACAAAACAATATAGCTTTGTTTCAGATTCGCAGTGGGCAAGGGAGAAAAGCAAATATGCACGCGTTTTGGCATCATTCATTCATTGTGTAGTCGAGTCTGGCAGCACACTGGCCGTCGCTGGAGCTCCTTGGCCGCCGCCGGTGCAGGTTGTTGGCAAAGTTAGAGAGCAACTCCGGAGCCAGTTCTTGAACAGTGAGATCAGAGTTTATCCGCATTACAACCCAAATGTAGACCTTATTACAGGGGTCTAAATGTTGACTTGCAAATGCTTTTTTCAATCCGCAACGCCTCAAGAACAGCCAAGTTTGGCTTTACCTAATCGCACACCCGATTGTGACGCGATCGAGATCTTTCAGACGCCCTAAATCGGAACGAATTTAGTTTCCCGTGCAATGATCGCTAAAATGGGCGATTACAACGAGGACGTCACTCGAATGACACGCATATACCTTATGAGTGAAAAGTCAGCCACACGGCAGCGTAACCCAATAAATTATTTAACCCGCGCCCTGCTGGGGGGGGGGGGGTGTTTGAACACCCCCCCTTGTGGTTTTTCGCGAATATCTCAAAAACGGCGGCGCGGAGCGCCGCCGTTTTTGGTACACCTTATCATACATCAATTCTACACATGTTGTGAAAATTTCAGACCAAGGTCATTCAAGGTCAGGTCACCAGGTCACTTGAAGTGACCTCACCTCATAAAAAGTTTCAATGTCTGTCATAGCTACACCGAGTGACCGATCGCTTTGAAACTTTCAGCGATTACTAAGAGCAATAGCATGTACAAAATTTATATCTCAGAATTTTGATATCGATGACCTAAGGTCAGGTCAATTTTGCGACCTCCCCATTATAAGTCAATGGGAGAAAATTGAAATGCGCCTCTTTTGGACGAAAGACATTATAAACACTCCCAAACACCGAATTACAAGTAATTTAGACACACTGAACATGAAAATGGTGTCCGTGACCCTTGTTTATGCCCTGAGGTCATCTTAGGTCACGAATGGTATCTAACAGTTTTTCGCAAATAACTTTTGATAGAGGCATGCTAGAGCGATGAAAACGCCTTAGATGTGTTCAGCTCGACGATACGGATCGACTGATATGCAACATGACCCTTTCCGGTCAGGTCATGACCTTGACCTGAGGTCAAATTTTCAAGTTGACCTTTCAAGGTCAAGTTATAGTTCATTCGATGCGTCTTGACGAGAGAAACATGATGCCGGTAAAAGTAAGCTCGTATAAGGCTTGGGTCAAAAGTTATTGCAGAAAAACTGTTTCCGAAAAAATCGGCTATTTTTGCAGTTTTTGCCCCCTGCAGGCAAAACCGTTGACGTTAGGTCAAATCTGAGGGAATTACTCAGAAAGGGCGTTAATAGGGCTATCGAATGCGCTTTTCCGCGGCGCTGTAGCTCTATTGGTTCCCGAGTTATGCGTTGGCTTCTTGGAAATTTTCGACATTCGACCTGGAAATCGGCGAAATTTTGCCTTCAATGACCTCTGGTGACCTGACCTTTGACCTGACCAAAAAATTGACCGAAGTGATTTCGTCATTATTTTTTACGCTCTTTCGAACGCCGCCTTCCGCGTATCGCTACGTGGCCCAGGAGCCGAGTTACAAGGGGGGGTGTTCAAACACCCCCCCCCCCCCCAGCAGGGCGTGGAAATCCAGGACCCCCAGCCGGGCGCGGGTTAAGCAACCATGCGTTACAAGATACGATTCATGATCCGTAAAAGGGTAAATATGTTCCACTATCAAATTTTGCATTTTTTTAACATGGTACAAAGTCATCCACGGTCGTAAAACGTAAACTTTGAATTGTATTAGCTTTCACAGGAATGTCCACAAACCTGTTCAACGTACAATTTGCAACAATATACAGGACATACCCTTTTCAAAAGAATCATAATGAATAAAGCGGCACTACTAACACAATATACAGCGATAAAGGGCAAAATAATTAGATGAGTCGATATTGTCATATTTAATAACGCAAAACTATTAAACTACATGTTCTTCACCAAAAGAAATGCAAACGCTTGGAAGAAATCTAGCAATAGCACAATAAAGAGGCATCGCCAAACAGATCTAGAGGAACAAACGATTTAATACAAATTTTATACGGGACACTAATTGAAAAGTACGCCCCAAAATCAGTGCAACGACTATGGTGTAATTCATGACTGTGAAACTAATACAAGGGAAAGACACTTCATCATGTTCTAGGATATGACAATACACTAAGCAGCCCCGCTCATATACTATGATCATACACGGCTGCGCAGCATCCGCAGGTTGCTGGAAAATTCGGAGCGGTATTAGTAAAGCATGAGTGAACTGCGAATCATGGCCACGGCGCACCCGGCAGCGGGCGCCACTGATGTGCGAGCAGTACTCGGGCGATAGAAAAACACCCAGCGCGTGTGAATCCGTTCCCATGACTTCTTTGAATATGACAGGATGGCGCGAAGCCCCGCTCGGGCGCGCCGCCGTCTGCGCACACTGTGTCCACTGAACGGTGTGGCCATCCACTGACTAGTCGTAGTCAGCCCAGCGAGGCCGGCGTTCATAGGTAGAGCGGCCGGTACGGCGGCCGGCTGCCCAGCTTGGCGCGGCAGATGGGACACTCGCGGCGCACGCGGACGGCGCTCCTGAGGCACGGCTCGCAGAACCAGTGTCCGCACCGGGTCACCAGAAATCCGCACTGCTGCTCCTTCAGAGCGACCACCGACTCCCAGCAGACAGGGCACTGCAGGCCGCCGGACGCTGCCGCACGAGACATACGCAGCGTCACGCAGAATTCGACACAAACATTACACAGCCAGTGCAGCAACACAAGAACAAATCCGTACGTTTTGACTACTAAAGCAGAAGTGTGATCTTTTAAACAAATTGTCATGCTTTGAAAGATATGACCTTCCTGTTGTGTATGAAGAAATAGTATGCAGTGCTCTAGCGAGGAACATCTTGATATATGTAGTTAGGATTTTAAATGACCTTTTCCTCGATAATTAATTGGAAATTCAATAAAAAGTAAATATTATATTGTTTGGCAAATTTTCGAACAGACTTCCAAAGTGTTTATATTGTCATTGTTGTCACCTTTTTTTAATGCTACGCGATCTATTCATCACGACCACGACCAAAACGAACCATGTATATATTTGTGTGGGTGTGCTCGCATATTACTTTTGATGGTCATGTGTGTACGTATATGTGTATAGGTGAATTCGGAACAGCTTGGGATATGATCGATTAAGTTCAGATTCCTGATTTTAAGAACACCACCTTGTACATCACGTGAGAATTCAAAAAATGTAGCTTGGCGGCAGGGTATATTGAATTAGGCTTGGCGGCAGTTATAAAACTTCGTTGTCAATTGTTTCATGTGGCTTGAGAATGAACTGTTGTTCGAAAATTTGCCAAACAATATAATATTTACTTTTTATTGAATTTCCAATTAATTATCGAGGAAAAGGTCATTTAAAATCCTAACTACAGATATGACCTTCCCGTTCAAAGATCTGAATTCCGCTTTTGAAATTTATCCTCCAGTTAATTCCCCAGGTGTCAGCAATACCTCACATACGCATTGATTTCCTGTCGGAGATCGGACCAGCAGCGACACAGCGTGCGACTCTGACTCACCTCCGGCCGGCGAGGACGACCGACTGCTGGCCGCCGGCTCGCTGCGCGGGGGGGAGTCGGGCACCATCTCGGCCAGAGTCGGCGGCAGCGGCCGGGGCGGCGGCCGCGCAGGCGGCGGCGGCGGCGGCGGCGGCGGCGAGTCGTCCAGGTACACGGAGCGCCGCGTGCGCACAGGGCCGGCCGTGTCGCGCTGCTGCCAGGCGGTGCCGATGGCGTCGGCCGCCGCGGCGCGCCGCTGCGCCAGCAGCCGCTCCAGCTCGTCCAGTTCGGCGCTGAGCGGCCGCGCCAGGCCCTCAAACCGCAGCCGGCGGCCGGCCGCCAGCTGCGCCACCACCGCCGACAGCATGCCGTGCGTCTCGCGCAGCTCGCGCAGGCGGCGCTCCACGTTGGGCCGCGGCGCGCGCGCGTTCACCTCCCGCACGTGGCTCTGCATGACACGGATGTCGATGGTGAGGTCGGAGAGCTCCGTTTCCAGCCACGTCTCGGTGTTGTTGCGCGGGTAGTCGGTGGCGGCCACCGGCACGGGCGGCGGTGATGGCGCCAGCGCCGGCGGCGGTGTCGGGGGACGCTCCCGCGGCACCGGGTCCATCACCATGCCAACAATGTCCATCTGGAACGACGGAACCGATCAGTCACTGGAGACACCAGGGAGGCCCCGAAACAACCCTGTCAGTACTCATCAACGGAAACCGTGTGGGATATTAATGAATCGATAAAAAGATCGGTAGGTATCGGCGCTAAGGCTAAGCTCTTATCAGGATTCGGATTAACCGGAAATGTCTTGACATATGTATATATGCCTCTCAAATTCATAACCGTTTAATGTTGTTTGTAATAGAAAAGATTGCAACAAAAATTCCAACGTTAAGCTAATGCGCACCGCGGATAAGCTAATAAGCTCCACATTAATTCAAGCTCAGTCACTGGTGTGCGGCGTTCAGCTGACCTCTGGCCGCTGCAATGGCGCCACGATCGGCGGCGCTGCCTCGCCCACGATGAGCACCTCTCCATCCGAGTCAGAGTCCAGGTCACATGTGAGGTCAATGACGCTCGTCGACGCCCGACGCCGCTGCGACGTCCGCCGTCTCTGTAACAGGAAAAAACAACAACAACACAGATTAAGCCGAGGGTGTCACGGAATGGTATTCTGGTCAACAAAATGAATAGATACAGCATAAACGTGAAAGAACTTACTGCACACTAGTCTCGAAATATATCATAGAAAAATAAGTTTTAGAAAGAAATGTTTATCGTCAGCACACTTAAGTTGCTATTTACTTAGTTATTATTTAGTTATTTTCACTTAAGAACTACATAACTGAAGTAACAGTGCCAAACAGACATTTTCACGATCTATGCCAAATATCCGCTTAGTGATCGACTTATGCTATACCGAATAACCAAAACAAGCAGCCAAACGGATTATGAACGTACCGTGGCCATGGTGCTCTGCTTCTAATCCAAAAAGGACGTCCTAAATCAGATGAAATGACGCTGAAATAGAAATAGCTTCGTCAGATATCAAGCAAACTGCTAAATGTGTTTTGACCACCCGTTTCGTATATGCATTTGTTATCGTCGGCACCTGAGCCATTTCGCAATGGCCGACACTGAAAGTTTGGGCTGCTGGATCATGGAAGCGGGAGGTGGCAGCGGTTGGTATGACGAGCTGTGCCGCCCTGCAGCCTCCGCCGTACTTAGCACATCTAGCTAACTAAATGATGCTTGTGTCATGGCGTGACACTTGGGTTAGTGGGGTGCAGAGTAAAAGACATATGTAAGACTTCGCAGTTTCGTTCTCATATTCCCACCCCATGTACGGCCCTCCAGCAAAAGAGTGGTTGGTTAGCCTATGTGCTTTCGGTGTAATAACTTTAACCCTCGCCCGTAAACGGCGATCTGCCACCTTCGCCCATGCAGGGGGGGGGGGGTTGGTGCGACCCCCCCCTTGGCGTTTGAAAACGGAGCGTCGTAGAGCTTAGCGGAAAAGACCAACGGATTGCTCTCGCCGAGATCTCGCGATTGGTGGTATATTTTTTGGTCCTAGGTCAACATTTGACCTACTTTTGACCGGTCAAAGGTCAAATTTTCGGAAAATAGACTTTTTCAACTTTCCGCGGCGATTGCGGCAAAACGGTGGGAGATATCGACTTGAAACCTTCACTATCGTGTTCCTTGATCAATTCTCTATCGTTTGGTATGTATTTCGTTTCCCTAGCTCTAAAAATGGCGCGTTGGGAGCGCCGGAAGTCGGCAAGGTCACAGTCGGCGGCAGAAATTCGAAAAATCAAAATTTAAATTTTTGAAATCTGATTGTATTTTTGGTTTTGGAAGGTCCATTTGCTCCCTATAGAAGCTAATATTGCTGCATATTCCCATTGAGGTGACAAGAATTAGCAAAATAGTGGTTCGGGCGCTTTTCAAAAATAGTACCGGACGCTGCTCCTCTTGTGACGTCATAGCTCCGTGACCTGACCTGACCCGGTCAAGTTTCTTATAGCATATGATAGCCAATACTTGCCCCAACATGCATGGGAAGTTTCATCACGATCCATCAACCGATGTCCGTACCACCGGCAGGAAACCTCGGGCGTTGGCACTCAGTTTGTGAAAATCCGGCCGGAGGCTGTTCCCTTTGTGACGTCATAACTCCGTGACCTGACATGACCCGGTCAAATTTTTTTTATCAAAAGATGCGCAAGGGTTGCCCCATAAGGTACCCAAAATTTGGCGGCGCTGCGCGCCGCCGTTTTTGCACTATTTCCGAAAAACCTCAGGGGGGGGTTGCACCAACCCCCCCCTACATGGGCGAGGGTTAAATAACAGAGACACCCCTGTAAAATGACTCAATAGAAATGAGAAGAGGGTTCGTGCACACATTTCGGCAGTGGTTTTCAGCAGTCATTAGACGTATTCATCAATGCAGATCGATTATTGTGATGTTGGCAACCAACCACTTAATACCTGGAGGGCCGTACCTACGTAAGGCCTACGCTGTCCTGGACGAGAATGAGCTCAGGCTCAGGTGCGACCAATACACGACTCACTCTTACCTGTTTAGTGGTGCCCACCACTTGGCACCCTACGTGCATCTCTCTGTCGATTGTCGAACATATACCGATAAGCGGCACGGTACTAGCTACCTTTTGAGGGACGGTGTCAACTTACCGCCTATCTACTTTACGGGATCTCGACTCCCCTACTGCAAATGGACTTTTCTTCGAGATGGTGACTCAGCGTTCACTATCACTTATTTGGTACTTGATTGCGCTGTGAGCAGGTATTAACCGATATACTCTCCGGGTCACAGACGCAGAAATTTCTGTTCAGGTATTAGTTAAATCGTATAATATAGACATCATTCGATAGATAATTTGCATTTAGTAAGAAAAATGTGCATAGGCGCGGGAGCCGGGGGGGCAGTGGGGGCAGCTTGCCCCCCCAACTCTGGGGCCGTGGGGGCGGTGCCCCCACAGCTTTGAGACGGAATACCACACTTTTTTTTTGCAAATGTTTTCTTTTTTTGTTGAAAAAGCCGAGGGGTGAAAAATAAGTGGCCTAAAACCGGTGAGAAAACTAGATTTGGGGGTACCCTAGGTTAATCTCTATTATGGTGTGCCCCCCCAGTCGGAAAGTAGTTCCCGCGCCCCTGAAAATGTGTCATCTGATCAACAGCTTTCAGCATAAGCAAACTAATAATACCTTACCTATCTCTATCGCAATTTTGATGTCAGTCGAGCATAGGCGTCGCCAGAGATTTTCGGTTCGGGGGAGGGGCAAAATCAACTTTTGTGTTAAAACTTGCCTTTCCCCAGTCTTTACTCACTCGTTTTACGTATCATTCGACGCACAATGGTGCGAGGAATCCGATGGTGACAAAGGTTTCCTTCTAGCTATGACATGTAATTTTTTACAGAAAAATTCGAAATTTTGAAATTTCAGCACAAAAACGACTGGTAGAATCACGGTAGAATTATAGTATATAGTGGCTGCGATTGCCGACGCACTGCAGAGGGCCCCTGTGCAGACGCTCGACGCTCATGATCATTACCCAGAAAAAGATGAAAAACGCTCCATTTAATCGGATCACCCTGCTAAAATCTCCATTCACGCATGCCTGCAGAGGTTTTACGTGAAATGCATAGGACTTATCCCAGCCGCCGATCGTAGCTAATTTGGGCATTCCGCGGAGAGTGAATGTCGGAAGTGTGAATCGGAAGTAATTCATCTTTGCTCCAGTGAGAGTAAGTGTTTTGTTCACTCGAGTGTGAACAAAAGTTTCTCGTTTTTCATGTGAAGGGAAGCGCGGCAAACGCGAACAAAAACTGCTAAACGGAACCAAAAGTTACGCACGGCATAGCGGCAAGGGATCCCTTAGAGATAGGTTTGGGACTTCCAGGCCATTTCAGGCCACTCAGGGTCAGTGCTGACTCTCAGAAGCATGCTTAGGGTCCCGGAGATCGGCGTGGGTCACCTCAAATATTTACGTGTACGTGGTGCTTTAGGGCGAGCCCAAGGTGGGGCCCTCAGAAGCCAGTGTGGGCGGCGGGCGCTAAGAGACTAGGCCCAGGGTGACCCTGGAGCCCTCGGATAACAGTGTGAACCCTCGGGGTCTGTGTCGAATCCCTAAGGACCCTACGTAAGGACATAATAAACATGTGTTGCGGACCTCAGAGGGACACGTGAGCTGTGACCCATCAGATTCCGGCTTGGGGTTAGCAAAGTCTGTCGCCTCAAAAGTTTGGCTGAACTATCAGAGGCCAGTTAAGGTTCTCAGAAATGTTCGAAGGCTCAAATATCCCTGTATGGGCCCTCAGAGAACATGGACACCAGTGGGACTTTCAGAGGCCTGTTTGGGCCCTCTGAAGGCTTCTTTAGGGCTCAGTGGAACTCCTTAGAAGCCTTTGTTTAAAGCAAGCTCATGGGCCCTGCGACACTTGTACGGTACTTGCGCCTGTCGCAGACATTTGACGAGAGTTGAGAAAGGCCCCGAAGATTTCGTTTCACGCTTTGAACGAAAATTGTGTCACCAGTCACCACTCCAAAACTTATGAAAATCAGCTGTAAAATGCAATAAAGAACGAACTAGGAACATGAAATGAATCACAGCATTGACGTTTCCGAGTCTGGACTCGGAGTCTTGAAGATTTTGCCGACTGCGAGTCAGACTCTGGTTTGAACTGCTTGCTGCCACCGAGTCTGACCTCACAGGCATTCTCAGAAAGGTACTCCCATTTTTTCCCGACTCCAAAATCTCATCGGATCTGTATCGATATCAGGGGGTGCCCAGTCCGAGGTTGGGGGGGGGGCAAGCTGCCTCGCTTGCCCCCCCCCCGTGGCGACGCTAATGCAGTCGAGCCGCAAGGTCTCCTGGCCTGTTGTGAGCTGTTGCAAATGCCTGTTGTCAGCTGTTGTAAAATAACATTACATAAGCCAAGTTATAAGACATGACGACGTTGACGAATTTGTACTATTTGGTGGGAGGCAGGCATCCTATCCTAGGTTTGGTAAGGTTTGGTTAGGTTAGGTTAGGCTAGGTCCACGGGCCTTACAATGAACTACGGGCAACCAAAGTAAATATAGAAATATAAAACCACTCGGGCAACCACATGTGTTGTAAATGTCTCATTCACATAGCACATAGCTTACAGTGAGTGATGACATAAAGTAACCGTGATGTAAATCGACCGCTGATATCAGTGTCCTGATTTTAGTGAATTTGGGTGGAAAACCACACTAAAATGGATTCCCTTTGTGACGTCCTGGAAAGCCAAACGACATTCCTGACAGATGAAAGCCACCAGATATATCAAATACCAAAAAACGAACAAAAAGAAATGTCCCCTCTGAAGCCCTGAAACAAAAAATAATGATGATGTTGTGACCAAAAAAATATAAGGATTATAGATAGGAGGGTAACAGAAGACAGCAGTGAGTGTCACTGCCTCTTGAGTTTCAATTGTACGGACAATATATGCTACATGTGGTACCGTTTAGCGTTTAAGGGGTTTTCAGTGGCTTAGGTTCAGCGCCGATAGACATTCTTTGAAATAGTGACGTCTTTGTGGCAGTTCAGTCACACTCTGAAAAATCATTTCGGGACGCTGGCTGATGTCATGTTGGCTGATAAACAAACAAGGGGCGAACAGGGCCCAGGACAGGTTAGCTAATGTTCATTTATCCTGGTTGAAAAAGCCATACAAAGATGAAAGATTTGTCCAGATCTGTCCTGACTCCTGGGCCCTGTTTCACTGCCCGACGCTGTGTGCGCTGCAGCGCGCTGGGAGCTAAGGCATACCCCTGACGTCGCTCGAATGACGTTGCATACGATCCATTGACTTATGATAAATCTTGTTAGGAACAGAGGTCTATGAAAACCTAGTATGAATTGAGCAGAAGTTTGAGTGCAAATGCTACTAACGTGCTGATGAGTGACGGCGCTGGCGGCATGGTGCGCTACCATTTGTTTGACATCATAGCTTAGCGTCAGAGTGAAGTTTGTTGGGAATTAGTATATATTAGGTCCGAGTGGACAATTGTGACGCAGTTGATACAAATATGCAACAGCAAAAAATTTAGGTTTTAGGGTAGGTTAGGTTGTAGGTTTTAGGTTTTAGGTTGGTAGGTTTGTAGGTTAGGTTAGGTTGTAGGTTTGTAGGTTGTAGGTTGGTAGGTTGTAGGTAAATAGGTAAGGTTAGGTCAGGTTTGATTATGTTTTTTCTTTTATTTCCAGGACATATAAGTATCATTTTTGGATTCAGGATGTCAAATAATGTAAGAATATGAAAACTTTATCTTTTTACAGTTACTCGGACTCAATGTATACTTTTACCATTTGTTGATATTGCCACGGAAACCCAACGCACCAACGCGCGCAGCACACTACAGCGCTCTGCCTTGAAACACCGCCCTGGTCCTACATTTATATAGGTTATTATATAAATTATTACATTTATATAGGTTTATATAGGTCCGCCACTCGCCAGTAATTGGCCAGTAAGTACTGCGCGTCGCGCGGCGCAATCGTACCAGTGCGGTGTCAATAGCTTTGCCTTTGCCTTACCCGTTAGAAAGGCCCTTGCCTCTCGAAAGATAACAAATACCTACCTGCCCTAGGGACCCTCCCACCTTCAAAAAAGTTAATGAATTGGCATGAAAGTGATGTCGTTCGGTTCAGAAAGAGCAAAAACGAATATCTACCAAATTTCATCGAAAAATATTCACCGGTTTTCAAGATATTAGACTTTTACTTTTGTTTACTACTTTTGTTTAACAAACCTACCAACCTAAAACCTAAAACCTACAACCTAACCTACTCAGCTTCTCGAAACTGTCGAAGACTGGACCCGTGCACTGGAGGAAGGTGACCCTGTGGATGCCCTTTACCTGGACTTTAGTAAGGCGTTTAATTCTGTGCCTCACCAGCGCCTGTTATTGAAGCTCCAATCCTGCGGCATTAGGGGTCGGCTGCTCGAATGGATAAGGGCCTTCTTGACTGACCGACAGCAGCGTGTGTCGATAAATGGGGCAAAGTCAGACTGGGTTCCTGTCACCAGTGGCGTACCACAGGGAACGGTCCTGGGCCCGTTGCTGTTCCTGGTCTTTGTCAATGACCTGCCCGCTTGTGTCTCGTCAGGGCTAAAGTTATTCGCAGACGACACGAAGCTGTACAGAAGTGTCGGCCAGGCTTCAGAGTCGGAGGCTTTGCAACGAGACCTCGATGCCCTGCTCGGATGGTCTGAGAAATGGCAACTTCCTTTTAATCAGTCGAAGTGCAAGTCTCTTCACCTAGGTCCTCGAAACGCCAATCACCTGTACCGTATGGGAGACACTATGTTAGAGCAGACGTTGGTGGAAAAGGACCTGGGGGTCAAGATAGACCACCAGCTCAAGTTCCGGGAACAGGCTGCCGCAGTCGTGGCCAAAGCGTCACACATTCTGACAGTCATTCGTCGATCTTTCGGAGTAATTGATGAGACTACGCTTCCAACACTCTTCCGGACCATGGTTCGCCCCCATCTCGAATACGCCAACGCGGTCTGGGGACCCTTCAACCGAGAAGACCAGAAACGCATTGAACGGGTACAGCGACGGGCCACGAGACTGGTTGCCAGCATCCGCCACCTGCCATACAAGGAGAGACTCCGGAGCCTGAATTTGCCATCGCTCTACTATCGGCGCCGACGAGGCGACATGATCTCGGTTTACCAGGTGCTTCGACGGGGAGTGGATGTTGACCCATCTCAGTTCTTCACTGCGGCGACGACGACCAGAACTCGAGGGCATGAGTGGAAGCTGTCCAAGCCAAGGGCTGTCTCCAGAGTGCGGCGGAACGCCTTCAGCATACGAGTCCTGAACGACTGGAACTCTCTGCCATCCGCTGTCGTCGATGCGCCCTCAGTCAATAGCTTCAAGGCCAGGCTTGACGAACACTGGGCTCACGCCAAGTACACCATACATTCCAACGACTGATGCAGTGACACACTGACACAAAGCTCGTCACGTCCGGATCCAAGAGGCCAAAAGGCCTTCCTAAATTCCGCATTTTATAAGTATAAGTAAGTAAGTAAGTATAAGTATAAGTTTACTTTTTGGGATCTCCGCTGTTCCTAGCGACTTTATTTGAAAGTGCGGCATTTTTTGCGCGCAAAGCAGCATATACCACCGCGTGCTACAAAACGTTTTAGTCAAACATTTAACGGACGTTCGAAAGCCTGATGACGTCATCAGACTCCCGTAATGGTTAAGAGATAGGGACCACGCTGGTCCCACCCTGCAAGTAAAGGGAAGAAATTTCTTGAACACCATAAAGCTGCGGGGGTTGCGACCAGGGCCCTGTTTCACCGGTGATAGCAGCAAGCTGCTATCACGTTTCGCGAGCTGACGTCATATCGTGACGCCATACTGTTGTCGTAATGGGTAGTTCCGGCGCACGATTGCCGCGACCTTGGCGGCGGCATTAAGTGACGTATGAGCCTAAAAGTAAGAGTTTACGCAGTCATGATAGTATATATATTTTTGATATATATTTTTTCAATATGATGTATTTAAAAGAAGTTGGGTTTAGGAAAAATTTTGACATTAACTTCGAATATTTAGCTGATTACGTAAAACAATATTGCGGCAATCGTGCGCCAGAATTGCCCCTTACGTCAGCAGTATGACGTCATCACATTACGTCAGCTCGCGCAATTTGATAGTAGCTTGCTGCTATCACCGGTGAAACAGGGCCCAGGATAAATGGGCCCTGTTTCACCGGTGATAGCAGCAAGCTGCTATCACGTTTCGCGAGCTGACGTCATGTCGTGACGCCATACTGTTGTCGTAATGGGTAGTTCCGGCGCACGATTGCCGCGACCTTGGCGGCGGCATTAAGTGACGTATGAGCCTAAAAGTAAGAGTTTACGCAGTCATGATAGTATATATATTTTTGATATATATTTTTTCAATATGATGTATTTAAAAGAAGTTGGGTTTAGGAAAAATTTGGACATTAACTTCGAACATTTAGCTGATGACGTAAAACAATATTGCGGCAATCGTGCGCCAGAATTGCCCCTTACGTCAGCAGTATGACGTCATCACATTACGTCAGCTCGCGCAATTTGATAGCAGCGTGCTGCTATCACCGGTGAAACAGGGCCATGGTGGTTTCTGAGCCTGGCCGCAAACTTGGCTATCTCAACCAGTGTTGCCGTCCTGGTACTATAGTACCAGATCTGGTACTTTTTCGACATTTCTGGTACGGAGGTACGCCTAAACGAAATCTGGTACTTTTTCGTCGAAATGCATTTTTTGGCATTTTAATATTTCTTTCAATTTTTTCTTTTAGTCAGGAGGGATGGTGTTTCTAACTTTCTCATCATAATTTGTCATACATCGGATTCGGAATTATTAATACCTATTCCTGTTGTGTGCTAGCAGAAGTAAACAAGTGGAAAATTCGCGCGCCACGCCGGCTGCCAAGGGCGGGCCGCCGGCTGAGGTATCTTGGCCGGCTGCAGGCCGAGGCATTTGTTGTGTCCAAGGCAATATAAGAGGTTGTGTCATGTTGGGAATTGATCGGGCCCAAATGCAACGATTTGTGGTGGCTCGTAAGCTGAGATACCAATAACAAATAATTGGGAATTGTAGTTGCATTGTGAACAGTGAAATGTGAGTTCCGTCGACGGTCGAAGGGCTAAGGAAAGAGGCTAGTTTGAATCAGTGTCCAAAATTGTGCGATTTCGTTGGAAAACTAAATGACACCCAACAAATAATTTTCCATTTTCACTAGCATATTACGGTGGTATTTTTCGGATTATGGGTGCAAGCTAGGATCCTGGGCGCAATTTCCAGTCTCAACTGGAATGCCCCCTCTCGAAGGCAGGATTTCGATTTCTCTACCAATTTTAGAGAAATCGAATTACCTACCAATAATTAGGTAGGTATACCTACCTATTAGGTAGGTATTACCTACCTATAATATATAGCTATTAATACCTATTAGGTAGGTATTAGGTTACCTACCAATTTTAGGTAGGTATGCAATTCGGGAGCCTGCAGAAGAGCGCCTTTCTGCCTTTCAAGGGGCGACGCGGGGAGACGAATGGGTCGAACTACTGGCTCAAATGAGCCATAAATTACTTGCTGGCATGAATATACCGAAATTTTGGTTATTACGAGCGAGCGAGCGCAGCGAGCGAAGTGAGTCTTTTCAATATAACGGAAAAATCTCAGTATGAGCGGCCCGGCCCGGCCCGGCCTGTAACGCTTTTGAGAGGCTTATATCTCAGCAACCGCTGGACCGATTGGCCTGCGGTCTTTTTTGTTGGGTAGCCCCATCCCTTCTACCCCGTAGTTGACTACTTTTGATACATCTCAGTGACCGTCGTGGCACGTGCCACGTGAAAAGTCAAGGGTGTTCAAGCTGTTTTGCAAAAGTAGTGATTTTGAGAGGCTCATATATCAGCAGCCGCTTGGGTGATTGACTTGCGGTAATTTTTGTAGGGTAGCTGCCTCCCTTCTACCAAAGGCCGGATACTCTTCATCTATGTGAGTGACCCCCACTGCACGTGCAAAATACAACAATAAGAGGTGCCAAATTTGTTCCCATTTCAGTATCTCGGTAATTACTGGGGCGATTTCGCTGAAACTTGGCATACAGGTAGGCAACCACCAGGCAATGCATTCCCATGTGTTGCGGTTAGGGTGCTACTGCACGTGCGCACGTGCAGGGGGCGTTTCCAGATCTCGAGAACGGCTGGGCCGATTGCGCTCAAATTTGGTACACGGTTGGGGACCGGTTAGTAGGGTGCCGTGCAAAAGTCATTTTGGACCCCGTTTGCACGTGCGCTCGTGCAGAATGCCGCTTCCAGATCTCAGGAACGGCTGGGCCGATTGCGTTCAAATTTGGTACACCGCTAGCGACCGGTTAGAAGGGTGCTTTGCACAAGCCCGTTGGAAGTACCCTCTCGCCCTTCTGCACGTGCAGGGCTCACTCTCTCGCTCGCTCGTCCTTCGCCCAAAAGGCGTTTTACTGGTTTTTAAACTTTAAAGTACTGAATTAATAACAAGTTGACCTACTACGATCTGGTACGGTACGCAGCCAGAAACAGCTAATCTGGTACGATTTGGATGCGATCCTGGTACGCTGTAAAATCTGGCCGCGGCAACACTGATCTCAACTCAAAACTAATGTTAAGGTGGGAGGGTCCCTTTAACCTTGCAGATCACGGCACCTCCACAAATCCTTTCCGTCGAGTTGCCGTTGAAGCGGATATGAATCAAAATTAATTCTTCTTTTGATCTGCGTGTTATTTTTTGTGGGATTTGCTTTCAATCGAGAACAAGGTTCGAAGCATTCGAAGGACGGCTGTCATTTGACGATGAGCTTTGGTGTTTGTCATAAGTGACGTAAAATTTGAACTGGTATATGAATTTTTGCAAGCTCACATACTTTTTTCAAAAAGCTTCATGAAATTCATGAAATACGAAGCTGAATAAATAAATCGTACATTGGTGCACAAAAGCTGATTTTTAACCTGAATAGTATTTATATTTACGTCAAATATCATCAAATTTGTATGTTCTAAGGGTCTGTTCGGTAGCATAAATACAAATATTGCGTGAATGAGACAAAACATAAAAAAGCTGTTGTTGTTGGTTGTGTGGTATTGGTGGCGGCGCTGTCTTGTTTCGCTTTTGTGGAATTTTGAAAGACACCACTGCACTTTCTCCTCAGACCAAAGTGATAATGGAGCTAGACTGTCGAGTCCTCCAAAATGTTGTACCAGTATCACTTCCAAGTTCCAAGAAATAGTAGTAAACCTTGGGAGTTGAGACCTCCACTAGTCAGCCGGAGCCCCTGCTGCTTCTGTTATATAACATTAACATGGACATTGAACATTGATGAATCCCAGAGGTCATGGGCTTAACCCTATTCCTGGCGGGGGGGGGGGCCTCAGGAGCCCCCCCCCCTGAGGTTTTTTGGTTATTTCTCCCAAACGCGTTGAGCTAGGAAGCTCAAATTTTCTGACTTTTCCTAAAAGGCTTCTACGCAACATGTCTGAAAATTTTGAGTTGATCTGACCTCAGGTCAGGTCACCAGAGGCGGTTTGGTGACCCTACCTCAGAAAAGTTTGCAATCACGCCAGAGCTAGAGTTTTTGACCGATCAGTTTCTTCTCTTCAGGCTTTAGTTCAGTTGGGGAAACTACGAGGAGCCAAGCAAAAATTGGATTAGCCAATCAGCGGCTGGAGTGGGCGGGGCGATGACCATATATGGTCATAAAATCAGACAACTTCATCTTTTCAATGAATTTTAGCATTCAAATGAAAAAATAAGGCATAAGAATGTTTTTTAACCACACAAGGCCTACACTCACCCGATGCATAATTAACTGGCGGCTCTAAATCGCAGAGTTACAACGCAAGGTCAAACCGTGATTGGCAAATATGGCGGATTGAAACAGACGCGCCAAAAAATGTAAGCAGTACCGTGGTTTAAAAATGTCATTATTTTTATTATTTTGTTTATGGTTTTTCTAATTTAAGTTAATTTATTATTTTAGAATTAAATATTTTTGTTTATTGTAATTAAATTAAATCTTTTAACAATTTTCTTTCATAAAACCAATCCATTTATTGAATTGGCCAGCTGATTGTGACGCCCAGAACCTGCAGAAAAGCCGTTTTCCTATCGCCATTTTCGAGTCAATTCGCCGAATTTAATCAAATCACACTAATTCCTAGTGAAAAATGGAAGCCTCTTCTCTCCAATAAGTGGACGCGATACCGCAAGTACCGGCTTGTTATACCGTTTTTCACCCTTAGTAGCGGGGGCTGCATTTATGCCCATATATGGTCATCAAAAGTCCATTTATTGACCAATCCATTTTTTGACATTCGCCTCGTAGTTTCCCCAACTGAGTTAGGGTACCAGTATGTGCAATTTGTATATCTCGGAATTTTGATATCGGTGACCTAAGGTCAGGTCAGTTTCGCGACCTCCCCATTATAAGTCAATGGGGGAAAAATCAACTCCCTGTTTTTACCACTAAAACGGGTCGGAATGGCCCCATATACCATACATGACTTCATATACGATCAACCTTCACTACCTTGAGGTCTGTTTTGCTGTTGGGCAGCTGTGAGGTCATGTGACGTCATCAAAGGTCACCAAAGGTTTTTGGCCAATAACTCCGTACAGGAACAAGATACAGACGCGTGGATGGTCTCATTGTGTTCAGCTCGTCAAGACGCATCGAATGATATACATGATGACCTCGAGGTCACGTGACCTGAGGTCAACCTTTGACCTTGACCTTTCGAGGTCAACATATATATCATTCGATGCGGATTGACGAGAGGATCACGATGATGCCCTTAGTTTGTTCCTATCTTGACTAATTCGAAAGTTATTCGAGAAAAACTCTCCATATCTAGCGCCGCCATTTTGAGTTTTTCGACCCCTGTGACGTCATCTTTGACCTGACCTGAAAATGACCTTAGTAAAAATTGTAGATCTTGACCGTGCGTATCCGATGCCGTTTACCGCTTGTCGCTATCTTGCTTCGTTCTCGAGATCTCAGGGGGGGCCGAATCGGCCCCCCCCCCCCGCCAGTTTCTTGTCCCGCCGGAGCCCGCCAGGAATAGGGTTAAGTGGCCTATATAGGCTTGCTCTATCGTCTAGATGAAAGTGGGCCCCTCGTGCATGGAGACTAACTGAACCATACTGATTGCTGATACGAGTCTATGCAAGAGAGACCTCTTTTTATCCAGATGATAGGGCAAGCCTTCATATAGCCTTGGCATAAGCTACTGAAGCCCCAAGCATCATAAATAGCCAAAAGAGCATGGTTTATGCCACATTCTCAGGATTAGGAGTCCATCCCAAAAAGGCATCACTTAAAACATTGGGTGGCTTACTGAAGCAAAGTTATTGAGTGGTCCAGTCCCTATGACCCCCCCCCCCCCCCCCATTGGCAGAGCCCCTGTAAAAGTGAAATTGTCAAAATAAATTTTGCATGAGTTTGAGCCATGCATGACTTGAAAGTTATTCCCAACTTGTTATTTATCATTCAAGTTATTTTAAAGATTCCCACCTCCATTGTCCAGTCAAATTCAGTCAACCAATGGAAATCCAGGCTGAGACTGCCATCACTTACACTGGCATGTGTCCTGCCACTCCTGCCACAATGTAGTCCATAACAATTAACATATGCTTATCACTCCAAAAGAGAGCTAGAGCCTTACAGCTGTCAGAGCCTTACCCCATATTGCCCACAGATAGACCAAGTCTGGCATCTAAAGCTGGTAGACAGATTTGGCCCAGGGCCCAGAGTTATGGAACTTCATTCAGTCAGCTGAACAGTGAATACCTCAACCTGAAATACAGTCTTTTCGCTTGGAACTTCAACATGACAACCCTTGTGCATTTGGTGAATGATGGAGCAAGTTTTTTCAGCTTGAATGAAGTTTAGTACCTACTAGAAGGAACAGTTTGTTTCATTGTCTTGGTCCCAAATCCCAAACCCTGCAGCTTCTAAACAGTGGCGATTTGATTCAACTTCATCCCTCCAGTTACCTGGTGGTGGCAGATGATCCTTCCCTGGTTCCATAGTTTAATGCTTGCTTTCCGGTTTCCTTTTCCAGACTGTGGAGTCACATATTTAAAAAAAAGAATGGCGACAGTGCTGATCCAGGGTGCCTCGCGCGGTCTGGGGCTCCAGTTTGCTCGTGCGTTGGCCGCGCGGGACTCTGTGACCACTGTGCTGGCCACGTGCCGGCGCCCGGAGCAGGCTGAGGAGCTGCGCTCGCTGCCCAAGGTGCAGGTGCTGCCGCTGGACGTCACCAGTGAGACGAGCGTGGCGGCGGCGGCCCAGCAGGCGGCGGCGGCCACTGCCGGACTCGACCTGCTCGTCAACTGCAGCGCCATTCTGCACCCCAGCGGCCGCGGCGAGACCAGTCTGCGGGACGTGAGTCTGGCCGGCCTGCAGGAGACGTTCAACACCAACACGTTCGGCCCGCTACTGGTGGCCAAACACTTTGCGCCGCTGCTGCAGGCGGGTTCAGGCGCGCTGGGAGTCCAGTCGGAGGACGCCAAGCAGCGGCACGCCGCCGTGCTAGTCAACATGACGGCAAAGGTCGGCTCCACGACCGGTGAGAAGCCACTCGCCGTCGCCCGCACAGCTGGGGTCTGCGCGTGCATCGGACATGTGGACCGTGTGTCTTAATATTTTCATGAGATTCAACTGTCGGTCCGCCCTTGTGGACCGGCAGCGCGTATGTAAAGGCCGCCCCACACTGGACCTCGCATGCGGGTTGCGAGTTTTTGGGTTTTCGGGTTTCTTCAAAATAAAACAATACAATCTAGGCCGAGTGACCCACACTACCATCTAACAAGCGAGTCTGCATGTTTTTAGCTCGCGAGCGACCTTGCATTGCATTCCAAAAGTTGATTTTGAGTCAACTTTCGATTTTCCTCGCTGCGAGGTCTGCGAGTTCTGCGAGGTTTGCGGGTTTTTCGTTGGAGCCGAATTTTGGTTCGTTGCGCTGGTATTGCGACTATATGTAAGTTTCTGAAGGTGTACCGGCTTCACTGCATTCATGAAGTTACCATAAGGAAACGGTCTAATCACTCTATGAATTAGTATTATGCCCGCAAACTCAAAACCCGCAAACCCGCAACCCGCATGCGAGTTCCAGTGTGGGGCGGCCTTAAGATACAGAAACAGGAGAGAGGGAGTCGAGACGGGCACCACGGGTCACCCCGTCTGCATTGTCCGTCGTGCTTCTGCTCCTGCCCTGTCGACCAGCGTGTCACTGTGGGAGTGGTTAAATGCTGACATTTGTTGACATGCTGGCCCATACTGTGACCTGAATTACCGTAGTTGCATTATTTCTTTCTAGAAAACGTTCTCGGTGGCTGGTACAGCTATCGCATGTCTAAGGCTGCCCTCAACATGGCGACCAAGAACCTCAGCATCGAACTGGGACGGGGACGGAAGAAGGTGCTGTGTGTCGGTCTCCATCCTGGTAAGCCCTTCACTCGCTGTCAGAAGAAAAAATGTTTCACACTGTGTGATACATGCCAATACTTTCACGAAGCTACCACAGTCTTGTCATAGCTACAGTATGCAGCGCCTGTAATCGATATACCGAGGAAAAATACATACACGAGTTAGCACGCATCCGAAGGCAGATTCTTGACGGGTTCGCATGAGTTTTACTGAAACGCGCCTCGCGTGGGTCATCTGTGCAGCTGTTAACATTCGTTTCTCCCACCAGGCACGGTGGATACGGACCTGTCTCGGCCCTACCACAAGAACGTGCCGGCCGGCCAGCTGCTGTCGCCGGAGCGGTCCGTGTCCCACCTGCTGGCCATCGTGGACCGGCTGACGGTGGCAGACTCCGGCCGGGTGTTCGTCTGGAGTGGGGAGCCGCTGGCATTCTAAGCACGCTGAGCGAATGACGGCGACACTTTTCGGGCCGGACGCTGCTGTGTGTGCTGTTTGATGTGCTGCGTTCATGGACGTAGATGAAGCATGTGAGTGGATGAACGCTAGCGAGCCGTGCAATACAGTGATGTGTAGGGAAGATACAGACTAAAAGGAGCTGCTTTTTTTGCGCAGGAAAACACATAAACTTGTAGCATCGATCAATGTGCCGCGAAGATAGCTCCAACAATGCAATGACGAGTTATTCCTCGTCTCGTCACTTGTTTGATTTACCGTTATTTCGTATTGGATTTTTATATCTATTTTATTTCTCATATACACGTATTCTATTCACTGATGCGAATGTTGCTTTTGTGACTTGCAAAATGCCATATCTCTGTGCATCTTCATCGACCATACGTTGTACAACTGGCTGTCAAGATGGACTCGTACGCAATATTGAAACTACTGTGTAGTGCTCCATGGTTGCTGTGTAAAATAGCAAAGACTATTAATCACTTCCGAGTTTGCTGAGATGAGTCGCCAACACTTTAAACACCAACTGTTCTAAAACTGCCGGTGATTTCGAAAATCGAAGCACACATGTACTAATGTGCTACAAACGTCGTGACTGAACAGCTCCCAGCCCATGAGCTAAATACAAACATCGTGACCTAGAACAGCTCCCAGCTCAGGCGATAGTGCTAACGCCGATCGTGGTCCCGCTGACGCGTCTTTCACAGCGTCACGGCGTCTCTGACAATGATCCCAACGGGATATCGCTCTGATCTTTTTTTTAATGTTACAGCTTATTGACACCTGTTGCCCATTGACAATTCGTCTCTTGGCTCCTATTTCAATTCAAGTCACATGCGCGTTCCTGAAGGCTCAACCAGACCCATTTGCTGCCTTCCCGTCACTAGCGCGTCATGCACTGAACCAGATTGAACAATGCGTGTATTGGTTGGTCACCGGAGCAGGTGTCTACGGTGATTCCGTGATTGCACTTGATCCCATCCGTTTCAGCGTAAGATATGTGCGGAGACGCGGAACAGTGATTGTCAAATGGCGAGTATTGTATAGCTTTTCCAAATGTTCGCAAGTGATTTGTTCAACTTGTGTCATGACATTCGGCACTTATACATTCAAGTGAAATTGGTGCTTGAGGGCAGAGGGCAACACCATCCTTTCAACCTAACATCCGAATTCCAAGGCTTTTCCAGCCCTCGGTCTACACACACTGACTCAGACATAACACTTCCACTTAAATTAGGAGTTAAAACATTGCGCATTAAATACAAAACAGAGCTGAGCAGCGTAGGAAAGACAGTGGTGTGTGCGAGCAGGTCCGGTGTGGCCGGGGGTGGTCTCACCAGAGCCGGGCGGCGCCGTCGCAGGTCTCCCAGGCAGTCACCAGCGCCGAGTACCGCTGGTAGTCGGCGGCGGCCGCGCCCAGGCCGCCCAGCTCTGGCTGCGTCTCGGCGGCCGCGCCGGCCCAGGCCGAGCCGTGCAACACGTCCAGCAGGGCGGCCAGCCGGCGCTGCGTGTCCGCGTCTCGCTGCAGCAGCAGCGGCCGCAGCCCGACCGGCAGCAGCTCGGCCAGCCGGCCCAGCTCGGCGCTCAGTTTCGGCGGCCGCGTCCGGTACCGGCTTCGCACCGCGGCGCGCACCTGGCGGTACACTGAGGCACGCGCGATTACCACCAGCGGCGGCGGCTGCAGCAGCGCGGCCGACAGACCAAGCCAGGCGCCCAGCGGCCGGCGCACCCGTGTGGCCGACGCCTGCATGGCCAGCTCGAGCACGAGCCGAGCGCGCGCCCGCCGGCGCGCCGCCTCCCCGTCCGGGAGCGACGCCGCGCCGGCCGCCGACTCGCCGTCGTCGAAAGTCCAACGCACAAAGTCCTCGATGGGCACCTCTGCGAAGGCACGCGCCACGATAAAGGCCTGCACGACGGCGCCGACGATACTCCGCAGCCGGCCGCAGACTGAGAACAGCCGGCCCCAGTCGGTCGGGTCACACTCCAGCTGACTGTGCAGATGGCACAGCAGACCCCAGACGCGGCGCGCGCAGAGCAGTGAAGCCCGCCCGTCCACCAGGCCGGGAGGCGTCACCTGCACGTGGTCGATGGCGCTGGAAACGAATGAGTCCGGCTCGGCCAGCGCCGCGCGCCCACACTCGTCGTCGTCCAGCAGTCGCAGCGCCAGCAACGTATCACGGCGCGAGTAGTTGTGCACCAGCAGCGGCCCGAGCACGCTCGGGCAGGAGCAGGACTCCTTGTCCGTGCGCCGCGATACGAACTCCAGCTCGTCGTGCGTCAGGCCGTGACGGAGCAGCGCCTCGACAAAGCCGAGGCCGGCGGCGAACACTGCGTTCCAGAGGAACTCCTGCTGCGTGCGGCGCAGCGTCTCCATTCCGACTGCAGCCAGCAGCAGCTCGAAGATGACGGCGTCGTCGCGCTGCGCCGCGTGCAGCAGCAGGGAGCGCAGCGGCGCCGGCGACAGGTCCGCGCCGCGCTCCAGTAGCGCCGTCACAATGCTCGTCTTGGCGGCGGCCGGGTGGTCGCCCATCACGGCATGCAGCGCCGTCCGGCCGGCCACGTCCCGCATGTTGACGACCTGCGGCGTCAGGCCGTGCCGGCAGAACAGAGCGACGACGTCGGAGCGCTGCAGCTGGGCCGCCAGGTGCAGCGGCGTGGCGCCAGACTCGTCGGCGCAGCTCAGCGCGGCGCCGGCCTCCAGCAGCCGCTCCAGCATCGGCAGGCCGGCGCCGCTCTCCACGGCGGCGCCCAGCAGCGGCAGCGCCGCCTCGCCCGCCTCCAGCGGCGGCACCAGCCGGCCGGGCGCGCCCAGCGTCTCCAGCTGCTCGGCTCCGTACTCGAGCAGCGCCTCCACCAGCGGCAGCAGGCCCGTGCTGACGGCCGCGTGCAGCGCCGACCAGCCCGACAGCGAGCGCAGTGTCGGGTCGGCGCCGGCCGCCATCAGCAGGCGCACGCACGGCAGCGACGGCGAGCCGGCGGCCAGCATCAGCGCCGTCACGCCGTCGTAAGTGGCCACGTCGACGTCGATGGAGAGCGTGTCGGCGGCGGCGGACATGGCGTCCAACACCAGCCGCAGACAGGCGGCGTTGCCGCGACACGCCGCCACGTGCACCGGGAACCAGCCCTGGTTGTCGTGAGCGTCCACTCCGTGGCCATCAGCCAGTAGAGAGCGGAGTTTACCAGCATCATCAGACCTGTCGGGATCCATTAAGGTGGGCAGGCTGAGTAATGTTTCGATACTAAAAGCTTAGCTTCATGCTTCACATTTTCACAACTGTGCAGATATCAAATGTGATGAACATAGACAGAAGTCAAATCCTAAGAACGTTTGATACTGCAAGCACAGCCACATTGGAAGCCACATTGTTTTGTGTTCAAGTGGCAGTTAGGAGAACCTAGAAAAATGTTATGTGATTTCCTATACCAGAAACCCACAAGATATGATTTTAATACTGGCAATCATCTACCTGTCCTTATCAATACTGTGGTGCTTACCAGCATGCTTGGGCAACAGATGTTATTGTTTCGGGGTAGCGCCCTTCAAAATTCATACTCCTGCGACAATCAATGTCTGAAAATAGGAAGGCTGTCAATTTCTCTTGGTCCAGTGGAGCTGGGCTGGGGCATAGGTATTTCTTTTAGGTCAGTGAAACTAAACAATGCCTACACTATCCTATCACATCTTCACCTTTCTCAATACCGGAGAGTAGCTGCAGCCTGCGACCATGTAACAATGTCTGATCTTGTACAATATTAATAACCAGTCTTAACCCGGCAGGCGGTGGGCCTCCCGGCCACCTTCCGCGCGGTGGGGGGGGGGGCATTCCCCCCCCCCCCCGTATCTCCGAAACTACGGGACGGATCCGGAAAATTCTAACGGCGTTCAATAGCCCTGTCAAATTTGTCGAAGGAAACCAAATTTCATTGACCTCGGGGTCACCGATGACGTCACAGGTCAGGTCAAAGATAAAATGTTTCACCGTTGGCGTTCACGAGGCTTCTAGGGAATTGGAAAGCGCTATAACACCGAGTAAAACGCATTTTGTCGAAAATCAGCGATAAGGCGTCAGTTTTCTAGTACACATGTTGCTATTAGAGGTCACTGGTCATACCAGGTCAGGTCACAGGTCAGGTCACCAAAGGTCACCAAGGGTCACCACATGAACCCAACTTTACTAAGGTTGTGCGATGCATGTTTATGGCCAGTTTTCATTTCCAACTCAATGGTGTTGGTTATAAGACCATTAGGTACGGCTTAGGTCACATTCTGGCGGGGCTGCGGAGTCGATGGATTTTCAGCGACTCCGACTCCGACTCCGGCTTTCAAAAACCAGCTCCGACTCCGACTCCGGCCAGAATTGTCGACTCCGACCGACTCCAACTCCCGACTCCGACTCCGCAGACCTGGCAGGGCTGCGGAGTCGACGGATTTTCGGTGACTCCGACTCCGACTCCGGCTCGGGTTTCTAAAATCGACTCCGACTCCGACTCCGACTCCGGTCACAACTGTCGACTCCGACCGACTCCGACTCCGACTCCGACTCCGCAGCCCTGCATTCTGGTGGAGGTCAGGTCAAGGTCCTCCCCGTGGCCTAGTGGATAAGGCGTCCGTCTCCTAACTCGGTGGCAGCGAGTTCGCGGCCGGGAAGCTCCACGCCGTTTGACCCGCGTTCCTATATTAAGCCAGCTGGCAACTGGCGAGACAAGGCCACGTTAGACCCGGGAGGACCGTGCCGCCATCTACCTGCGGCACGCTAAACTTTCGATCCAAATTATCACCGGTGAACCGGGCGCGGGCAAGGTGGGTCCGTGGTGTCATTCGCAACAAGCACTGCTTAGCGGGGCACCCGGTCCCATAGCCACCCATTCATCCATTCGGACAAAATTTCTTTTAAAAAAAGGTCAGGTCAAAAAAGTTCAAATTTCAAAGTTGATATTTTTGCATAAAATGGCTATTGATTCGATGCACCTCGTCACGGGGAGTCTAATGGTGGTCTTTGTTTTGCGCTGCGAGGTCTAGAATTGCTAAAAATTGAGTTTGAAAATTTGACGTCATCAATTTTGAACAGTTTTTTCGCTGTAACTTGGCCAAAAAAAGATGTATCGATCTCAAATTTGGTATATAGATAGAAGGCGGTAGGGACTATTACATATCTTCCGGGTTTTTTGAAATTCAAAAAACTTTTTGGATTTTTCGGCTATTATATTTAAAAATCTTATTTTTTATTTTTGGTTGTCAAAATCCAAAAATTTCAAAAATCCGAGATAGCAATTTTGTAGCCCTCTATATTCTTCACCTTTTATGTCTGAAACATTTTTTTTTTTTGTATCTCTAAAGCTGCAGGCCTGACAGCTCTTCTCGGGAAACCTTTTTTTGGGTCAAAAATGGCAGAAATGACGTCACTCTGACGTCATTAGCGTCCAACCTATCATAGCCTTTGGAAAAATTTTTGGTCACAATTTGCAATAGCTATTCACGGGA